TTCTTTCATCCACAATAGCTCCAAGACTCGTTTTGTTTGCGCAGGTTGCAGATGAAGAATGTGTCCCCTTCAAAGTGGTCTACGCGCTCTCCTACGAGCTTGGGCTGAGAATCCTCATCCAGCCAGAAAGCACACGCGCATGCTGGAATGACTGCCGCAACGGCATCCGAAGAGCCAACATGCATTGCATGTTGGTGTCAGCTGTTCTCAGCGCAGCGCACGGCCCATTTACGTCGTTGTTGGGAAACATTTTACATGTTTGCTTATTGTGGTTTAGTGGTTGAAATCCCCACTTAACTGCTAAAATTTTCATTTTTGTTGCTCCCCAAACCCAACATCAACCAAGTTTAAATCGGGCAGGAACCCGCTCACAATTCAAGAAGCTGTGGACGCATGGGTCGCTGACATCAGCGGACAGCCCTGATTTGCCTGCAAGCAAGCACGAGATCGCAGCAATGCCCGTCATTGCTCACCTTCCGGTTTTTGCCCGGAGTCACTAGTCTGACTACGCTCTCTCGGATTTCAGATGACACTTCACATCTTGTCTTTTCCTTAAGCTTCCATTTGGTGAAGAATATGTTGTTTTCCTGTTGTTTTCTTTTTTTTAAGGGAATCTATCGCTACTGGATATATATATATATATGTTTTTTTCCAGGGGACGGATAAGCAAAAGGAGGCAAAAGCAAAAGCAATTCGTTTCTCCACTTGACGCAAGTTTCGGCAGGACGGGATCAAGAGGGTTGGAAGAACGAAGGCCCCCACCTGTATCCAGTCTGCCTGTTTTGTAGCGAGCACAGGGGGAGGTCCTTTGCTTGGACTGAAGTCAGCATGTCGAGCTTATATGAAGTGTTGGAATTGCGCTAATGATGTTAGTGTTGATACAGAATGATATGGGGCCTATGAGTCTATGAGCCTTAAATGCGGTTATGTATTGCACTTGCGTATGTAAAATGGAGGATGGAACAAATGTTTAGTGCAGTTCTAGCCTGCTGCTAGTGTAATCTCCGATACATGTGTAGCGATAAAAATCCCGAGCAAATCCTGGCGTCTGCCATAGCATCCCCAAGAAAGCTTCATACCCATATACCCTTTCTTTTTACAAACAGGCTGTGGATAGACAAAAGCCTGCACCGCTTGAAAACCATGGTTGAAACCATTCTTTGTTGGTATTTACAGGGGTATCGAATCATTCCGGGGGTTCTTAGGAGGTGCCTGCGAGGATTTGTCCACCCACAGTGGCACTAGGGTGTTTTGTGGTTTGTGCACTAGAGTCGATTCCTCTTAGGTATGGAGCGTCAAGATTAACCAGGCGACCTTTGGCTTCCTGTTTGGTTTCTTCAGTTTGAGGCCCCTCAAAATGTCAACCAAAGTGGGGTCGAGTCAATTCACCATTGTTCTGTTAGAAGCTCAGAACGGTGTCAATGCTGATTACTTTGCTTGTTGAAACCCCCCCATGTTTAGAACTGCCACTCAGCCCACTCACAAAACTGCAAAACCAAGAGGTCGGCTTTTGGTTCCACAGCATCAACTGGTCAGCGCCCGAATCCCTGGAAGGTATTTGGTGGGTTCCGAAACCACCAAACCCAAGGCCTAGGCTCCGGCTCGCTCCCCTGAGTTTCAGGGTTTCCCCAGCCATTTTCCCTGTTTGGTTCACTGGAAACCGCCACTTTTTTGATCGTTTCATGGGAAACCGCCAGTAAACTGATCAACTTTTGATTTGGGTGTGGCTCAAGAATGGGGGTCCAAAATGGAACCCTGGTAAATAGAAAGGTAGACTCAAACCTGCGTAACCCCAGCAGAATCACACCCATTTGGACAAATCCAGTGACTGCTTTGCCACCTTTCGGGCCTGCAACCCCAGGCGAACCGCCACGGCTCCGCGTGACGCGGGCAGCTCCGGGAGGTCCACAGCCCAAAGCCAACAGGCCAACCAAACCCTCAACCCACACGCAAGGCTCCGAATTTTCTTTCAAGAACATTTTGGGATTCGGAGCACCAAGATGAGCTGATTCCTTGTGGCCAACTCAAACGCACACAGACACGGACACAGACGCGGACACGGACACACACACACACACAGACAGACACGGACACGGACACAGACACACACACACACACACACACACACCACACACGGAGAGGAGTTTTCCTTTGAGGTCCATGTCACTTGGGAGTCGCAGCTTGTCTGGGAATTGAAGAGGAAGAGCATGAACCCATTGCATCCCAGGCGTTCCGCCACTAGCTTCACTGTTGGCGCATGTTGGTTGTTTTGCCACTTCTTTGGTTCTGGCGGCAAAAAGCAACGTCTGTTGCTCACGTGAGCCAAGGCGGGGAAAGGTAGGTATCTTTTTGCGATGCTCCTGTTACAGTCTTCAAAGGGTGGCTCCGGGCTCGACATTTGAAGCGCGAACAGGCGAGCCATGGTCAAAGGACCGCTTGGCACCGGTGAACCGGGTTTCCCGAACCCGAGTTCCACAGAGGATGCGGTAACTGGCTGGTTCTCAGAGAATTTCCATGGCGTAGGTCGCCTGTTGTAGGTCAGTGTGGTCGAAAATAGATGGCGCCGGTTGCAGGTTGGTTCCAATCAGTGCCATCCATTTTTCAAAAAACAACACCTATGCCTATGTTCAAGGGTTTTGGGAATCTCGGGATTTCTCAAAGGAAACCTCAAGGGATGGTTGGTAGTCAGTTGTTATGCTTTCTGAGAACCAGCAAAGCAATGGTAGGACTCGGCAGATGTGTCGACTGCGAGCCGGGATTGTGTTTGCCTGTCTGGCAATGGGATGCACGCAAACAGGCAAATGACGTCCAAGCAAGGGTTTGTTTCGACGTTCCTTTGTGTTTTCTGGGTATCTTCGCCGGTAGGGGAGGGTTGTGAATGGTCTGCTTTCAGCCAAGACAGGTTGGATCATTTGTCCATTTTTTCAGACACACCTTAGAACCCAACTCACTCAGCAGACCACACTTTCGGGCGAACCTTGCGCGGATTCGTGTGTAAGAGGATCATGGGAATGTCTGGGTTGCTCTTGTGTCCGGCTTTTAGACTTGGGATTCCGGTGTATTTTAAAAGGGAAGCATTGGTTGGCGACATCATTTAGGTGACAATTCATGTCCACCAACCGCTTTTTAGGTGGTTCCTTTCTAAGATTCATAGCCATTGTTGACTTTTTGGGACTTTGAAAATACTCAAAGCCCGCGTCCGGGTCTCACAAAAAAACCGGTGGTGTCACTTCTTGCGGGTGCCAAGGCACCACCCCAGCTTTTGCAGAGAGTTCCCCTGCCCGCTCGGCAGATCTGTTGGAGTGTACGGCTCTTCAGTTTCAGAGCGAGCGACGCACCGCCCACTCCCATCGGGCGACGGCAAATCATATGGGTCAAACTGAAGCCGCCGGGCGGGAATTGGAGCGCAGGTTTGAGTTCAGGTGTCCATTTCCCAGGGTTCCAGTTTGTTTGATTTGTTTTAATCTTTGACCCACAGCCATATCCTGAAGTATTGCCAACTTGATTTTCACAACTGAGCGCCCAAAACTTATATTGGCCATTTCAGGAGGTGGTTCCACTACCTGGTATAATGCATAGTAGTGGGTCATAGTAAAGCCCACGTAGACCTTCATAACCATGTATGTGGAACCAAACATCAATGGGTTTTGTGCAAACTCCTGTATACTTTCCCTCTTTCGTCGGAAGTGTCCCTGTAGTTCTTTGGTTTGAGGTGCTTCTTTGTTCCAACCATGCATGGACTCGCGGGTTCTTCCAGCTCCAATTGCAGCGGGCGTGGCTTCGCTTGCTCTGAAGCTGTGGCTAATGTGCAAGATATTCCGCACGCTTCTTGGGATGGCATGGATTTAAAGCTTGAGACCGAAGGGACGTTGTTTTTCTTCATCACGTCAGAGTTTAGTCAAGGAAGGCCATTTAAAGGCAAACCACAAGATTGGGCTTGTTGGCCGTCAGATTTGAACAACCCTTGGAAATGGATTCGCCAGGCCACTAAATCCGCATGAGTATCAGATGGGATTCCTTGAGTTGCCCCTGATGGACCCCCAACTCTATTCAACGGGTCACAAGCGTCCACTCGTTGACCGGATCTTCTCCGATAGCGCCTTATCAGTTGGCAGGCGTGATCTCTCCTATTGCCTCCAGAAACTGCCATCTCCGCATAGTTGCTCAATATATGTTACATACAGACAAAGCATATGCATGGTTTTCAAGGAATCGGGGGCAACCCAGATATGCAACCTCGCACATTGATCAATGGGTGTTCCCCCCAAATGAATGTTCCCCTCCGAAATCGGGGACGCCCCATATCCAAAGGAAATGAGTCTTGCCTGTTGGGTCAAATCGACTTGCCGTGCATGGGTCAAAGAATTGCCGCATCAGTTGCGGGTCAAGACATACTAGTATCAATCATGCCCTAGGTTCCTAGCCCCAAAACACCTCAAATAGTAGGGATTTGGGACTTGAGGGGTCAAAAAAATTCACTGCCTGAGCCTTTCTTGCCATCCTCGGGGTCCTCGGCAGAGTCAATGCAGCGCGGGCAAAAACATGCGCGAGCCAGCGGGAGGTTCCCAAGAGGACGGGCGGTTTGCACTTCCCAGGTTGGCTTTGGGTTGGTAAGCACAAGCGATCATGTTCAACCCTCCTGGGCTGCCTGGATTTCTCTCATAGGCCTTCCCTTTTGATTTTCAGGCTGACCCTTGGCATCGATTTCCCTTCAAGACAAGAAAGCCCGGAAAGAAAAACCAAAACAAACAACTAAGTCGGGAGCTCTCGTTGGCTTTTGTGGCACGGGGGAAAAAACAACTCGTGCCCCCAGCCGCAGCTCCGGCTTGCAGGTGCAGACCCTGCGGTTAGCACGGCCACAGGGCCCTTTTTTTGTTTTGCCCCAAGCCCCTTCCCTCAGTGCCCAGCCGGCATGTTTCCGTTCCGAGGTGAGCAACTGAGGATTGGAGGAAAGATGTAAGGATCGATCCTTAGAGACTCAGGCGGACGACTTCCCCCCAAGTCAACTAGCAGTGCTACCGGAACTCCGCGATGCTGGCTGAGGATGACTCCTCTTTAAGGCGGGCACGCAAGAAATTTGCGACGTATCCCCTTAATCCCTTCCCCCTAATAATAAACGACCCCCCCCCCCCAATAAAAAAAATACCCGGCCTGCAAAACATTTTTTATTATTAGGGGTCCCCTGGTTCTGGAGGGCAGGTTTTGGAGGTACTTCTTGTTCTGTGTAGGCTTGTTTGCAACTGTGGTCCCCCTGTTCCGAAGTCGCAACTTTGTAGTACAGCCGTAGTAAAGGAAACGTGCTCCCGGAGCTCAGGCTCGAAAGTCGCAACTTTGTAGTACAGCCGTAGTAAAGGAAACGTGCTCCCGGAGCTCTGGCTCGAAAGTCGCAACTTTGTAGTACAGCCGTAGTAAAGGAAACGTGCTCCCGGAGCTCTGGCTCGAAAGTCGCAACTTTGTAGTACAGCCGTAGTAAAGGAAACGTGCTCCCGGAGCTCTGGCTCGAAAGTCGCAACTTTGTAGTACAGCCGTAGTAAAGGAAACGTGCTCCCGGAGCTCTGGCTCGAAAGTCGCAACTTTGTAGTACAGCCGTAGTAAAGGAAACGTGCTCCCGGAGCTCTGGCTCGAAAGTCGCAACTTTGTAGTACAGCCGTAGTAAAGGAAACGCGCTCCCAGAGCTCTGGCCTGAAAGTCGCAACTTTGTAGTACAGCCGTAGTAATTAAAGGAAACGTGCCCCCGGGGTCCCCCTAATGGGGCTGGATTTGAGTACGGGCAGGAAAGTATTTACTTTAGAATTGGTTTAGTATTGGCTATTCTAAAAGTAGTATTCCCGGATTTGGGACTTCCGAAACAAATATTTATTATTAGGGAGACCTTTATTAATAGGGGGAAGTGATTACTCCGAATGTTTTTTGTTTGTTTGCGTGTGTTAGAGAAACCCAATTTCCAAAGCACACACCTTCTATGTTTGTCAGCTTGCCATTGAGCATCCAATTTGGGCAATTGACAGACACTTCTGCCCCGAAAGCCATGTGTATTGTGTATCCAGGACAATGGTTCAACTTTCTGTTTCAGTGGACCCTCTGTTTGCCCTAAGAATAGTCATTATGGGGATGGGAATTGAACTAAAGGATATCACAGAAACAGACTGTGATACAGAAACTAGGTCCCCCAGTAGTGCTCTTTCTCACCCTTTTTTGGGTGAGGGTTCCCCTAAATAGACTGCAGAAACAAGTTGGTACCCTTATTCTGACCTCTCTAGGACCTAGTAAAGATACAGAAAGGGACCCGTTGGTCCTTGTTTTGTTTGTTCCGTTGCTTGGCCCGGATCAAGAGTTGCCGGACCTAATGTGGGCTTTGAGGCGGCAACCATGCAATCCTGGAAAGTCAGCTTTGTTGAACATGGACTGACTCCACTGGCATGAGTTCCCTGTTTTCTGGTTCATTTAAAACAGGGACCATTTGGTAGATTGTTTTTTCCTGAGGGTACTCCTTTTGGGTAGTTTTACGGAGGAACCTCTCAACAAAAATAAAATAAGCAAACAAAACACGCTCGCACCATTTTGGAGGGTCCCCCCAAAACAAGACGCGCTCGTTTTTGTTTATTGTTGAAGGTCACGCTCGTTTCTTCTTATGAAAAACACACCTGACAGGCCGGGGTCGAGTTGAGACGAAACCGCGCAGGAAAGTGCTCTCGAAGCGCCGAGCCAACACCGAGACCTTGCGGTGTTTGGCTCAGGGAGGCTCAGGCTCGATCGAGACGTCATCAGACGGTGGTTTTTCAGCAGGGCTCCGGAGAAAAAAAAAAAAACATTTTGCCACCATTTGAAGCATGGCCTTTCCAACCCCAAAACCAAGGGGAAACCGCCATGTACAAGTTGCAATGTTCAGGTAATGTCAGGATCCCCGTTCAGGGGGCCCCCGAAAGAAGGGTGATGTTCCTTTTGGTTCCCTTGCGACTCCCACACCCAACTTTCGACTTTGCCTATCGAAGATCTTGACGATATGGGCATCCCTTGTTTCTTGTTGCGGAGTTGGCGGAGTTAGTATGAAGTTTGCAGAGTTTTCTTTATTTCTCCGGAGGGGATAACATGGGGCGAATTCACGAGGCCAAAAATGCTGCAGGGAAATGGGGGTGAAACTTCACCATCCCATGTGAGCAGCGTCCGACATCCCAATTCGCCTCTTAGGCGGTTTCACTCAGGCTTCCGTTTTCGGACTACCCCAAGAAAGACTTAAATGTAGGGGTTTCCCTTCTCAGGAAATCTACCATTGCTGGGTTTAAGTCCACTTTGGGGTTGTCAAAAAGCGGAACCCTGGTTTTACTACCTTTAACAATAATTCCAGTTTAATCCCGTTTTGAATTCCTTGGTTTTACCTGTTGAATCGCTGGTTTGTTTTTTTTCACTGCCTGTTGAGTCCTTTTACCAGGGCCCATCTTGACGACCCATATTTCTTGATCATCGCCCTGGAACTCAAGGACCGCACAAAGACACGTCGATCGCCGGTCGTCCAGAAGCTGTCCATGTTCTTCTGTCTTGTTCGCCGGCTTTCCTTGGATCCCCTGGCCCCAGCATTTGACTCTCAAGCCAAAGGGAGACCAAGCCTTCCATTTTGGTTAAGATATGTTTGTATTTTTCCTTGTTGGTTTTAAAGGGAATCTATCACTATTATGTTTATTTTCTCCAGGGACTCCAGGGGGCTCAAGCAAATGCAGGAACCCCAATTTTCAGAGATTGAGAACCCCTAACCGTCCATATCATGGCCCCACTCTGCTTTTTTGCTTGTCGCGGGAATGGCCACGGGTCATGACCCTTGCATACGAACGGCACCGCCCGTTTGCTGGTAAGCATCAGCTTTTGGTTGCAACAACGTGAGTGTCCTTTGGGGATGTTCACGAAAGGGGAATGGGGTTGTCTCCAAAAAGGAGAGCCGCTAAAATGGCTTCGTTGTCCCTTTGGATTTCCATTTAACCAAGGTAAACGGGAATCCTCAACAGGATGCGAAAAGTCAAACTGTGTCAACAACTTTTGCAAATTGGCAATCAGCCACCAGAAAAAGCAAAGACACCCAAATGGCCAGGACTTTTACTGGGGAACCACCTCAAAAGTGGGTGGTGGACATAAATCCCCACCGAAATGATGTCCACCAAAGCGTCCCTAGTGAAAAAATTAGACCCCAAATTCGGGATCGCTCGGACCGTCGCCCTTTGCAGGCATTTCAATCACCGAGGAGGCCCCGGGCTTTGCGAGGCGGGGTGAAGTTGCGGTCGAAGGAATGCTTCCTGTGAGGGGAAGCGAGTACTACAGCAAGGAAGCCCGACATCCGTATTCTTGGTGGCTCCCAGGCATCCGGTTCCTCAGCCTTTTAGATCCTTTTAGTGTTTAGTGGTTGGGTTTCCGAATTTAATCCACTACAAGTTAGTCACTGTTAGCAGGGGATCTGAAAACGGGCAGCCCAGTATTGGGGTGCCTGCTAAGAAGACCTCCGAAAGGGGCGTAATGGGAGGGGGTCAATCCTAGGTCCCCCAGCGATTGGTGCCCTTTCTCACTTTTTTGGGGAGGATTCCCCTACTAAAATAGACTGCAGAAAAAAAAGAAACGGTACCCTTATTTTTAACCTCTCAACTGGAGGAGCTAGATATACATGAGGGCCGTCCTAAAACCCCAGTCTTCGGTTTTAATTATCGCCGACCGGGGAGAAGTAAAAGTTGTCAAAAGCTGTGCGCGCGCAAGGAGCGCGCAAGTGCGGCCCAAGGGACGCGCAAGGTTACAGTTTTGAAGGGTTTCATGTACTGATGTTGCCTAGCTTCATGAAAGGAGGTGATATCTTCTTGCTGTACTTATGCTTTTCGAATGTTGCTTGGGTCATGTGTAGGTCACAAGCTTGTTTGCAAAGGTGCGGCGTTTTCTTCAGTCAGACGCCAAACGAAGCCGAAGCTTCTGCGGTCATGACTTCGACAATCAGCAACTGGCAGCTGACACGACAAAATTCGCGCAAGCCGCGCGCAAGCCGCGCGCAAGTTGCGCGCAAGCACGAGAAGCCCCAGCAAGACGTCTAGCCATGCTGTCTTGGATGCTCTTAGCGGCGCGGTTCAAGCAATGGATAGGCAGCCGCAACACGCACTGTCCTTCTTTCAGGCTGTGTCCAAGCGTGTGGCAGAGCCTGCTGTCCTTTCTGTTGGGTCAAGGGTGCTGCCACGGAGCGACCTCAGCGGGAAGAGTCTTTGCGGGTTGCTGTGTGAACGACGAACACACTGCTTAGAAAAGCTAGCGCGCAATCCACACGAAAACTTCGCAAACCGAGGTCAACGAAAACGAGTTTCTGCGCCACTGTGCGCGCGCAAGTCCGCGCAAGTGCCGCGCAAGTGCGGCCCAAGGGCCCAATCCCGGGCAAAGGAATATAGGACAACCCCCACATATCCCTGGATAAGTCTGGGGCAACCCCTTCAGGGTTTAGTACTTGATGGCCTACCCATAGCCCGCCTTGATCCACGAAACATGGAACCCCTTGGGGATTTTCCCTGCAAGAGGAGATTCCTTGGTAACATCTTACTTGCTTACAATGATCAACCAAACAGACTGTAAGTACTAGGGTTGAACGTTGTCCAAGCAAAAAGGATGTTTTCCGACAGGAGTGAGGAGTTCCACGTTAGTCGAACAATACGAGTTTTGATGTGCAATCCACAGATGCTGTCTACTAGGGACGAATCATCGAGCCGCCGATGTTACCAGCAGGCTGTGTCAAAGCTTCTGAATTCAGGCTCAAGCCAAGCAATTGCTCCCAATGCTGGTCGGTTTCATTTTATTTGCAGGTCCCTTGGTGAAATAATCAATATTCTACTGCCAGGGGGCAAGCCTCCTGATTTCCACAGCCTCACAAGTGCGAGTCTCGCACATGTTGGCATGTGTTTTACGTGTTGGGATTGTATTTTGATGATTCTGTTCATTCTGAGTAGGGGGCTGCCACAGACAAAGAAAGCCTTATGCTCACCAACGGTTGAAAAGGTAAGCAAGGTAGATAGCTTGCCCTGGTCTGTGAACACAGCATATTTCTCCCAGCTTTGCTGCTGAATGATTACAAGGTCTCACATTCGCTGGGCCGCTCCGTTTAAAGATGAAGCCATTGGAGGGTGAGCCTTTTGGGGGCGTCCATTTGAGTATGCTTCCAATAAAGAGCGGTTGCAAAGAACAACAAGTTGACAATGGGTTCTACCAGGTTGAAGGTTAAACCCACCAAACGTTGCCAAAATCAGTCCCCTGACCCTCAAAGGCCCATCAACCCCAAATCGTTTGGGGCACTATGGGTGTGGCTCAAAATTGAAGAGGGGGCAAACCGCAGGTTTGCTCTTTGTTTCCAAGGGGGCGAAAAGTGTGCCCTTTGGGTAGTTTGATCCTCGTCCCCCCTTTGCAGGGTTTGAGGTCTCACAGTTTCAGAACAGGGGACCCTGGTAGTGCGATTTTTCCGCGTTTTAAAACTTTCTATAACCACAGTCCCCCAGTCTCCACAGTTCAGTTATAAATTCCGGGATAAATATAAAACCTTTGGTTCCTTTCTCTTCCCAGTCCACGAGCGGTCGTGGACCATCCGGCACTCGGAATCCGCGGCCAAAGCGCCGACGATCGCCGAGGCCCACGCTGTCCTTGTCCACGAAGGCGAAGACGCGGCGACGGCTCGAGGAGCCGGAGACGGCGCCGCGGCTGCGTCAGCAGGGGAGGCACGGTGCCTCTTCGTTTCCCGCAACCGGTTGTGGTGGGTGGTTTGGTGGTTTTACGTGTTGTTTTTTGCAGGGTACCCGTTTGTTGGTTGGTTTCAATTGGCAAACCAAGGGGCAAAGCACCACTGTTGGAGGTTTTTGGAGGGTAGTTCTGCGAATGGCCTGCTTGCGGCGGCACAGAAAGGCTTAGCTTGACAACATGCGTGTGTGTGTGTGCGCGCGTGAATGTGTTTTTTCCCCCCAGGGTACACCTTTAGGTTGGTTTAAAGTGGGAAAACCATGGGGAAGCCATTTGGATATGTGCTTTTTTTGCAGGATACACCTTCAGGTTGGTTTAAAGTGGGAAAACCAAAGGCAAATCGCCATTTGGATGTGTGTTTTTTCTCCAGGATACACCTTCATGTGGGTTTGAAGTGGCAAAACCCAAGGCAAATCGCCAAAGAGGGGGAAGTAAATCGCCTATTTCGTCTCATTCGGCCCAAGACCTGGGCTCGGGCAGAGACCCCGCGAAGCCCGAAGCCTCCGGCTGTGGAAGACATCTTTGGATGCTAGGCCTCTGAGTAGCGCTAAGAATAGTTATGGGGATGGGAATTGAACTCAAGGATATCGCAGAAACAGACTGTGATACAGAAACTAGGTCCCCCAGTAGTGCCCTTTCTCACCCTTTGGTTGGGGAGGGTTCTACTAAAATAGACTGCATAAAAAAGTCGGTACTGGAGGACCTAGGATGGTTTTCCTTTTGGTTTCCTTTTAAGCCCACCAAAGACGAGAATGCCAGCTCCAAAAAAAAACAGGCCCAAATAAAACGAGAAGAAGCACCTTCTTGGGATGGGTTTTGAAGGAACATCAGGACACCCACTGCCCCCAGAAGCCACATCCAAGCGGACCTAGAATTGAGCGCGCCTTTTGTTGAGGGTACCTTTTTTGTGGTTGGTCAAAAGGAAGCCACATGGACTCGTGCCTCCCATGTGGGGGCGTTTGCCTATTTTGCGACCAACCCGGATCGCAGATCTCATGATCGCCAGAGGAGTCGACGGAAACTCAAGCGCAAGCCATGATCCGTTGCAGCCTCCAGTCGCGGCAATTCGGGGCCACTGACCAGTAAGGGCCATTTCCCATGGATCCTCTGGCTTTTGCTATGGCTCTGACTCAGAACGAAAAGGAGGGGCCTGCGATTCCTTCGCCCAGGATGGAAACTCTGCGGACGTCCGCGGGCGCAGCTGGCAGCGTAGCCGGACGCTAAACGCGGCACCTCGGCCTCGGAGTAGTCTGTTTTTTGGGGGTTCATTCACGTGTTTTACAGGGATTTTCGGAGGAGCACCGTTGAGCGATGTTGAGCGTTTTTGTTTTTTGTTAAGGGGGGAAACTTGAAAAGAGGATATATTATATATGTTTATATATAATTATGATATATTTCTGTTTTTTTTTGAGGTTCAACCCTAGATTCATACCCCCTGGTTGTTGTTGTTGTTTTCTTAGGACGACTTTTGGAGGAAGCATGTTTGTGGTAGTAGGACAGGTCAATGAATCTGGGGTCCTTATAATTGGGGGTGCCGCCCCGTCCAACGGTGGTCTGAATCCCCACTGAAACCAGGGACACATCATATTCATAAGCTGGTGTTTGTTAATTCGGGGTCAATCTGAATGGGATTCCCAGATTAGTAGACTTGTCCTACTTTATAGATCAGGGACAAGTGTTTCCTCCAAAAGTCGTCCGAATCTCCACTAAACCGGGACACCCCCCTCAAGTTAAAATCAACCAGGGGTTTAGTCTTGGGCAGCGTTACGGGTGTTGGTCGTTTTGAGGGTTTCCTGTTCAGACTTGTTGTTGTGCCTTTAAACCAAATTGCAGGCCGACGGAAAAAGTGGATTCCCCTTCTTTGACACATATGCCTATGAGCTTTTAGAGAGGGAATCTCCTGCAAAACAATTGGACGCGAACCCCCACCTAATCTTGACTGCTACTGTGTTGAATCTTTCGACTTCAACTTTTTGGGTTTCCATTAAACCCACAAAAAGTGATTCTCACTTTTTGCAGAGGTCCTTACAGCGCTCAATGGCTGTGGCTCAATTGAATGGAGACCAAAATGGCACCTTGGTAAATGCAACCAAAGACGAAAACCTGCAGTTTGCCCAATGGTTGAATATTGAGCCACCAAATGATGTCCACCAAACAGATGGGAGTTGTCCAAGGTGTCCCGTGGCACCGTTCACAAGTCATGTGCATGACTCCCAACTGTTCCTTCCATTTGCCGAAGATGGGAATCCATTGTTGTCCAGATTATTATTTAAAACCATTTCCATTTATTATTATGTTTTTCCCTTGTTGGTTTAATGGGAATCTATTGCTTAAGACTTTGTCTTTTTCAATTTTCCCCCTGTTCGTTTCAAGGGAATCTATCACTACTGAATTATTGTTTATGTTATTTTTCCAGTGGGCTTAACTGTTCATGTTCCATGCGGCTGGCTAAAGGTATGAAACGCGAGCTCACCAAGGTGGGTAGGGAATATGAGAGGTTGAGTAGTTACTCATATGTTGTTCCCGTGTCACGGCTTGATTCTTCAAAGTCCCCCACCAACCCATTCTAATGATTTTAAGCCCTTCACATCATTGTTGTTGGGACACATTTTACACTTTTGCTTATTGTGGTTTATTGGGAAATCCCCACTTAACTGCTAAAATTAAGTTTTTGCTCCCCTTCCAACGTCAAACAAGTTTACAGTCATTGGGTCGAGCTCACGGGATAAATTGAGCCATGGCGTGGGGCGAAGCACGTCCTTCATTTCGGCTCCGCCAAAATATGTGGCCATGGGTCAAACTCCTGTACCCCCAGTGAACATCCCAATCCCCACTAAAATAGGTTCTAGAATGGTTGGTGAATTCACATACCAACCCAAAATGGGATTCCCAAAGCGGTGTTGCCAACCACAGCCATATTCTCCTTCAGCCGAAGGGGCCCCCTCGGGCCGAAGGCTCCAAGGATCCGCAGGATGAGGCTCATCATTTCTCGTAACATGTGCAGATTGCAGTAGACTTAGCTTGACTCGATTTTAGAGCAATTTGCAATCCCATTCTGCTTATGCCACTAGTCATGCATGCAGCTTTGGGGCCGACCAGAGAAATCCAGTGTTGGGTGTCCAAAACGTGTTCTCTTTTCTTTCCGCTCAGATGGGCAACAACGCCGTCTTGGGGACGGCCGACTTTGTCAAGCAAACACGGCTGATCTTCCCAGCAAGCTAAATCTGACGAATCTGAGTAACTGCTTTGGGGTTACGCCTAGACTCTTAGAACACCCCTAATGGGTTTCACCTGGACATTTCGGAGCCAGGTAGCGCCTCCCAGAATCGAAGGCGACGGGCAGCTTGGATGCGAAAAGTTGAAGAATATTATCGCAGCTGCTTGGGTTTTGTTGGGTGGGGTGTGTCTCCTGTTCTTTCTCTTTTGTTTATTTTTGTTGTTTCTCTTTTTGTTTGTTGTTCTTGTTCTTTGACGGCGGGGGTGTGTTTCCTTAAACCCTAAACCCTAAACCCTAATTGTTTTTGCTTTTGGGGTGGGGGGAAGGGGGGGTGTCCTTTTCTTAGATTTGTGTATCGGTGTTTTTGTGTGTTGTTTTGTTAGTTGTTGGTTTCATGATTGCAGGGCCCTCATATTTCTGGTTTTGTGGGGAACCGGGGTCCACTAGCAGTGACCACTTCTTTTGTGTTTTTTGGGTCCACTTGACTTGACTTGTTTTGTGCTTGTTATTTCTCTTTTTTTTGGGGGGGCAGGGGCTGGGGGGGCGTTGGCTGGGGGGGGGTCACTAGATTTATTTGTATCGCGTGCCGTATCCACTAGCCTCAAGCTTGGTGATTTATTTATTTACTTAAATAGTTATTTATTATACATATGTATATATATACATATATACTTGGGGAACTTTCATTTTCAACCGCCGGGGCTTTTCGGACCGCCAAAGGGATGAATCTTCAGCGAACATCGCGAGCCTGGGACCTGGGTCATGTTGATCTCAGCGAATCGACCGGAGCTGACAAATTTTGGTTACGGTTTGGGAACCATTGGTAAAGGTCAACCAAAAGGTGAACCTGAAATATTTCTGGTTCCTTTGGGCTGAGTGATTGCACATGTTTGCATGGCAGCTTGAAATGGGATGGCTCCGTTCCATGTGAACAGGTTCCAGGTGAAATTGATTGCATTTGTTTGTTGAAATGGCATGGCAGCTTGAAATGGGATGGCTCCATTCCATGTGAACAGGTTCCAGGTGAAATTGATGGGTAGTTTTGTTGAAGTGCCGTTTGCTCTCATTGCAGTCCACAAATGGAATTGCCAAAGTTTGCCACATTCCCAGCTGCGTTGGGCTCAGGATGGACTCCCGCAGCATGCACGAGCTGGACGCAATGTGCCGTAGTTGAAGGATAGATTTCGCCTTGGGTGTGTGTGTGTGTGTGTGTGAGTTTTTGGGGAATTACTGGTGGTTTTAAAGAGAAGCCAAATGAAAAGCACCTTTTTAGCGGGATCCGCTTTTTGGACACATACCCCTCGTCAGGGCCCCTTTTTGGTATCCCCTTTAAAAGGCGACACCTTTGATGGGCTTTTTGGTGTCCAAGCGGGGGCACATCTTCTGTTAACCACTCAAAGTGGCTGTTGCAAGTTCCTCATTTTGAGGTGGCTGTGTTTCGTATGAATTTCCAGTGAGAAAGCTCGCGAAAGCTCCAGAACACGGTCGACAATTGGGTTCCAGGTTGCCATGTTCTATGCGCGGCAAAGCGACATCGCCTCATTCTGCAGATGAATTCGCCATGGTTGAATAATCATTTTGCCGCACCAAGCCCTTCGATGCATGCGCGAGTTCGCCTTGGCAAAAACACACCTCAAAACTTTGTTTCATGTTGCTTGGATGTTAGGACTTGAGAACTTTTTGCCAACGAAGGAAACGGTTTTCCGTACTAAACAACCACTAGAAGTTCGTCACTTTTAGGGCTTCGCAGATTTCGCCACCAAGGAAAGCATATCTCCGAGCGCTCTAAGGTTTGCAAGCCCAACTCGCGCGAACATCGGAGCAAAGCAAAACAAAAGGATCCGGTTCCAAAGGTTTTTTTTTGCCTTTTGAATGCTTAGGGTTCAGTGGCAGTTTCCACTAAGCCAGAGAGAAGTCGAACTTTGAGCAGCGGATTTGGGGACCTCCGCCCGGCTTTTTTTGGTTCATGCGAACAAAGTCCCAAAGGTTCCTGCGCGAAAAGCGGACGGAAGTCTTCTTGGTGGCTCCCAGGCATCCGGTTCCTTAGCTTTTTTAGCCTTTTTAGTTGGTTTAGTGGCTGGATTTCCATTTAACCCACTCACTAAAAGTTATTCACTTTTAGGGGGGGATCTGAAACGGGCAGCCCAGTCTTTGGCGGCTGAGGAAGAGCTCCATCAGTGAGGTTCCTCTCTTCAAGCAGTGCAGCCCGAAGTTCGTAGAGGCCATCGCAGAACAGGCGGGACACGCCTGCGAGAGACACCCATACCCTTGTTGGAGCATGGAATCCAAGAAGCCCTCTTGAGAGCACTGCTTTTGGGGGACGCTATTTTGGGGTCCCATGCGCTTCGCGGAGGAAGCTCCACCTGGGGTTTGGGACATGATGAAGCCAGAAACAGGGGTTCCAATCCTTTGTGGGGCACGGCTCTGGGGCACGGCTCTGGGGCAGCTAGGAGTGGGGCCCAGTGGGCAGTGCGGCAGAGGCACAGTTGCGGCGGATTTATAGTTTTGCATTTGCTTGCCGTCCATGCTGTGGTCGACACTAACTGCGGCTTCAACAAGCCCACCTTCGTTGCTTGTTGTGCTCAGATGTGTGATTTTTGCTCAGAACCCCTGCATTTTCTCTGGGTGATCAATAACCCCTAGTTTCCATATCTCGGAGAAACCAATTCACCAGGTTCGCGCTTGCTAGTTGAGTCAACCTTAGTCAACCTAAGCAGTCAACCTAGGCAGTTGTTGGCCTGAGTAGTGACTGCGTTTTCTGACTTTTAAAGTCCCAATGGGTTTGTCTCTAACCATCTTTCATGGGTGGTTTGCCCAGTCCCTTTAAGCTGGCCTGCTTTTTGGGTAGCAACTCAAAAAATAAGATCACCTGTGGCCTCAAGACCTCAAGCCTGGGGGCCTACTCCAAACGACCTCAAATAGCAAGGTCTGGGGGCCCTAGGGAAATTTCATGACCCCAGCAAATGGCACGTTTTGTTTCGACAGAGTCTCAAGAGGACTCGTGTCCAACCTTTGCCAGATAGGAGCCTCTGCAAACCTCGAGAGTTGGAACCAAGGTGGTGGACATTCAGCAGAAATGATGCCCACAGGCTATGGCCGGGAGCCAGTAATGTCAACTCCGGACTAATAAACCCCTGGTTGATTAATAGGGGGGTGTCCCCTTTTAGTGGGGATTCATCACTTTTGGAGGGGACACCCCCCCAATAATGGGACGGGTTTATTAATCCTGGGTCAACATTAATATTCACTCCTGGATGAATTTCTTTTGGTTGGTTCCGATGTTCCTCCCATTGAACATCGGCCATGGTGGGTTCCCGTCTGAAACCCGTCCAATACAGATTTGACTTTTCGGCGGGCCCCTCACTAGTTTTGACATGTTGTTGTTGTTGTTGTTGTTGTTTTTTTGGGGGGGAGCCCTCTCAAAAAAGATGTGGACATAAATCCCAGCTTAAAAGATGTCCACCAAGTCCCCATTTACAATTCACACCCAACTCACTCGTTTGGGGAAGCAAACTGCAATTAGCAGTCTGATACAATTTTAAGCCATTTGCAAGTGTTTCCTCCTGCGGGGGCAAGCCTTGTAGATTGTCCCTATACAGTCTTTCCCTGTGATTTGAAGCGTTTGGGTCCCTTGACGGCTCTTTAGGGCTAGGGGAAAGATGGAAAACCCTAGAGCCGCTGTGCCTAGTCCGAAGTTCTGGCTGGAGTCGATGACTTGGGTCATGTGTGGTTGGACAAGTCCAGCTCCCCTGCTTTTCCCAAGTCCCCAACCCCAAAGTGGGTTTCTCACCTTTTTTGCGGGCACCCTTTTTGGGTTGGTTGAAAGGGAGCCACAGAAGATTACCATTGCGCCATTATGGGGGCTCCCCTTTGAGAATCCCAAGTGCTTTCGGTGCGACGGAGATGACCGTGATTCCGGCAGGTAAGCCATCGACTCTTCACTCCAGGCGCGAGAGAGGGGTCCAAAGTTCATCGCCAAAACTCTCCCAAGCATCTTACCTTGCAGCCAGCTGTGTCCTACTTTGCCTTCCATTTTGAACCCCACCTCCCGCATCTTTTCGGTGGGGTGCTCCTTCAAAGCTCAAGCCACCAAAGCAGTCCGACACTGCAAGTGACAACATGTTCCCACAGCACCCCACGTTCATCCACCGGCCGCAAGGGGCGGGGCTTTTGTGCGGTTTTGAAACCAAGGGGGGTCATGTTTAGCCATGTGCCAATCCAAGAAGCCCTTGAGGGCTAGAAGCTGGTTGAAAGCAGTGGAAACAGTCTGGTCCAAGCATGTCCTGTTGGAGAGGGCTGGTTTCATTGTGACAATTTAACATCATTCATGTATGTGTTTGTCGGTTTTGTGCATGTTTGTTGTTTGGTTGGTCTGGTGTGTCTAATTTACCTCTGGTGCGTCTGGTGCGTCGTGATTGTTTTTTTTGTGTTCCCCCTCTTTTTTTTTTGGGGGGGGGGGGTGTTTGTTTGTTTGCTTGTTTGTTTCTCGTTTGTTTGCTTCTTTCTTTGTTTGTTTGATTGTTTGTTTGCTTGTTTTGGTTGGTTGGTTGGTTGGTTGGTTGGTTGGTTGGTTGGTTGGTTGGTTGGTTGGTTGGTTGGTTGGTTGGTTGGTTGGTTGGTTGGTTGGTTGGTTGGTTGGTTGGTTGGTTGGTTGGTTGGTTGGTTGGTTGGTTGGTTGGTTGGTTGGTTGGTTGGTTGGTTGGTTGGTTGGTTGGTTGGTTGGTTGGTTGGTTGGTTGGTTGGTTGGTTGGTTGGTTGGTTGGTTGGTTGGTTGGTTGGTTGGTTGGTTATAGGCGTATCTATTTTATAATCTATGTATCTGTCAGTCAGTTTGTCTGTCTGTCTGTCTGTCTGTCTGTCTGTCTGTCTATCCAGTCTATCCATCTATCCCTTTATCCATGGATCCATCTATACTTAGTTGTTTCAGTCATTCATGTATGTTTGTATTCATTTATATGTATTCATGTAATTATGTATGTAGTCACGTATGTGTTTGTTTGTTTGGTTGTTTGTTCGTGTGTTTGGCGTGATTGCTTGTTTGCTTGTGTGTTTGCGTGTTTGTTTGTCTGTTTGTTTGTTTGCTTGGTTGGTTGGTTGGTTGGTTGGTTGGTTGTTTTGTTTCTTGCAGTGTGCTTTAATGTATTGTGCAGTTACTTGTATAGTTGTTAATGATTGGTTTGTGTTGAAAAACAAAGGTTTGTTTACTTGTTTTAACCATTTCTTTGTGTATCTATATTCATCGATGGATGCTGATATGTATATATTATAATCATCATATATATATATATATGTATTACTTTTTTGTTTATTTACTCTGTCTTTCATTTGTTCATTTGTTTAGACACCAATTACTCATATGTGCATGTAGCACCAATTGTTGTTCTCATTTGTGCACCAGTTTATGTGACCATTTACTCATACTATTACCCACCAACATATACATATTCCTTTACGAGAATCGATGTATGCCGATGGCCTTTACGAGCACGCGCAGGCGTGAACATCATTACGGAGGGGGAGTATGGGGATAGCGCCTTGACCGGGACTGGCCGCTGGATCGATGTGGAACGTTTTGGGGAGGTCAAGTTGCCCAAATCGGAGCGGCGAGTTTCCTTTGGTTCTCACCGAAAGGCACCAGCCTTCTGCCAGCCTTTCACTAGGTCCCTTCGCTTTGGGTCTGTGCATTTTTCTTTTGAGATTGAAGGGTCCCGGCAAAAGACCCCAGAGGGGGTCTATGTCGTAGCTAGGCAGGATAGACATGTGAAATTAGATATAAAGATGAAGAATCGGTTGTACCCCAGAGTTTGGCTCCTGTCAGAACACATGTGGGTCAGTCAAGAAAGCACTTTGGCCAAGTAGAGGGGCCCCTTGTAAATCAAGTGGAGTTTGGATGTGTCCTTTCAGGAACCATGTGCAAGGGTCAAAAGTCGCAGAAGACGGTCGTGGGGTATTTTAGAACCAAATTTCAGTCAATGCTCATAAAATGAAGACTGTGTGTAATTGTTTAGCCCCCTGCAGCTTTCCAGCATGAAACAAACGTTGAGAGACTCACCCAAGTTGTTTTTCTAGCATGCAAACCATTGACCATGAAGTTGGGTTGGTCCCTCCCCCCCCCGGAGGAACCTGATACTGGACATGTATGGGGATGTTGGCAATTCGATCGATCAAGAATCAACTAGTGATTCTGCAGAAAATCAACTGGGACCATCGTGCAGACAACTTCTGGGTTGGTCGCTTACTCAGAACCCCCCCCCAAACGCCCAATGAACGGGATGTCTTTCTGTTTTTGTCCAATCATGAAAGCTGACGGAAGGGTTTTGGAAGGGGGAAGCCTTTTTGCTGCAGAAAGACTTGGGTTGGGTCTTTGAGACTTTGAGTCGCACTCAAACGCCGCAAAACTGAGGGTTTATTGGCCTTCAACGACCAGATTTCCTCCTCTAGGTTTCTTGTTTTTTCATGTTTCTGCCCTCAGGGGAGCCGACTTCCATTCAAAACTTCGGCTTGGCTCGTAAACTTGTAACCCCTTGGTTTTGGGTGGAACATATTTTTGGGATGCCAAGAGCCAAGTCAACCCTATCCGACCTCACACCAAAACGTTGGGGTAAAAGACCTCAAGCTATTGGGGTCCTGGGGCAAGCAAAACAAAAACCACTTAGGTATGTACATCTTGACATACCTTTTTTCTTCCAAGTAAAAAAAGCCTGGAAAAAACAATCGCCAGCATTTGGGTCTTTTTGAGTCTTTGACCCATGAAAAAAAACAATCCGGACCGAGGTATGTACATCTTGCACCGGGGGGAGGTGGAGGTGCTCATCGGGGACACGTGCGTCTGCACTTTGGCGGACGGCGCCGTCTTCGGGGAGATCGCCGCGCCCAAGCCGAAGCCGTGATAGCGGGGAGTAGAGGGGCGGGGCTTCCCCAGCAATTGGTGCCCTTTCTACCGTTTTTTTTTGGGGGGGAGGGTTCCCCATACTAGCATAGACTACAGAAAACAGTTGGTATTTTTTTTGGTTGGGGGAGGGTTCCCCTAAAATAGACAAACCAGAAAACAGTGCCCTTTCTAGCGTTTCTTTTTTTGGTTGGGGGAGGGTTCGGGACCCTACTAAAATAGACAAACCAGGAAACAGAAACGGTACCAACTTATTCTAAGCTCTCTACTGGAGGACCTGGGCCATTCTTTTGGCAGGATGGGAATATTCTAGGGAAGGTACCATCAGGAATCCTTCTTTCCAGGGATCCGTCTTTTTTGTCTGCACTCTTTCCAGAAAAATCATTTTTTCAGGAAACGATTAAAAAAAACAGGAGAAAATCACAGCGATCAGTTTTTGAAAGGAACAATGGTTGAAAAGAATGGGGAATCAACCCCTAGAGATTTGTTGCAACTCCCAAGGAATCCAAAGGGCGGTTTGAAGGGGCCTAAACGGGGTAGATCTATTTTGTTGGAGTTATTACTTCCCCTTTCGGACTGATTGGGAAATGACTAGTTGGGAGATGACTTTAGAAGCGGGTCAAATAATGAGGCCAGAAGTACTTAACTGGGATATGCTTTTATATTTTGTCGAAATATACTAACCTGTCCCAAACCTAATCCCCAATGATTAGCGGATTACGGATTGCGTGGTTTACGGAATAGACCGTTTTGGTGTAGGACACCCAACTACATTGTGAGGGAACTGCTTTTCAGCTTTTTAAGGGGCGTTTCGCCCGAAAATGACACTAGGGCATGTGAAAGGGCCCCAGTGGGGTCACTTTTCCAGGATGGAGTCGTGGATGTGAGGCTTTGTCAGGCCCACTTGGAATGGCGATAAACCGCGCGGATTACGGATTAGGGGGTTTACCAGCTAAAACAGCGCATTACGGATTGTGATTAGGCCCCCGGGGATTTCGAAGAGGCAATATATATATATATATATATAATATATATTAATAACATACACCTGTGTACAGCCCCCAACTTGGCCCAAGCTACTCAAAGGGAAGTACCAGGGTCGGGAAGGGTTAACGGTCTCCCGATTTCACTTCGCCGCATTTGGGGATTTCCTTGGGCATGGGCTTCGGGAGGGTCTTGTTTAGGGTAATCCGGGGCTGGGCTTGTTTTCTAGATGGAAATTTAAGGTTGGTGCTTAAAGGAAAGCCCAAAAATGCCACGGGAAATTTGGTTAGTGCTTAAAGGAAAGTTCCGAACAATGCCATTCCAGGGGACTGAATCCTATGAAATTTGGTTGGTGCTTACAGGAAAGCTCCACAGAATGCCATTCCAGAAATCTGAATCCTGTTCTGAGGGAGATCCCTATGGTTTTCGGCGTTTCCCCTCCGAAAATCGCACCAGTGGATGAAACCCGACTTTAAATTTGGCGGGTCGGTAAATCGGATTTTGTAAGCCTCAGCATGGTACAACAACAACTGAAGCAGCATTCAGGTACCCTTGGCTGGTGGTTTGAAATTGATGTGGGGATTTTAACCGTCCAAACCTCCGTGCTCCAAACCACCAATAGGGAAGCTGAAGCATTCTGACCCCCCGCCCCAAAGAAAGAAAGGGGGAACAAACCAGCTGTCCAAACCATAGCGGAAAAGAACACACCACGGGATCTGGCGCAAAAAAGGTTTTTTTTTGTTTTTGCATAGAGACCATATGAGGAAACATCCCTACTGTGGATGGATAAAATCCTGAACTAGGTGGGATGGATAAACCCCTGTGAAGACTGGGACAAACCACCTTGTAGCTTATGCGGATTTCGTCCATTTGTTTCTTACGGGACCCCTACCCTCAGAAAACGGCAATCCCATTTCGTTTGTGTGTCCCAGAAAGCGAGTTCTTTTGGTATCGCAGTATCCCTGTAAAACCTTTTTGTGTTTTGGTTCTCAGAAGACACGCCATACGAGCCACAATCAATCAGAACCCAGGTAAATGAAGCTCAAGGGACCAGCCCCTTGCCATGGGTGCGGAGATCCGCCGTTTTATCCCAGATGTTTGGTTTCCCCTTCGCCCGGCGCCAAGAAAAAGAAGAAGAAGAAATCGAAGTAAGGTCAGTAAGGTCAGCAAATTTGTTTGCTTTTTTTCCCCTCAGCCCGGTGCAAAACCTTGAACAACTCGAGGCCCTCTGCAAGAACCCGGTGCTCGCCCGGCGCACGGCCACCATCCGCGCCATTACGCTCTGCGACTGCCGAGTCACCTACCGGGATAGCCTCCTGAAGGCTGGAATGACGGAAGCGGTGAAAACGAGGCTTGGTGGGTCCAAGCTAGTAGGGCTCAGAAGGTTTTGAGTAGTTTTTAGTAGTTTGTGGTTGGTTTTGTGGAAGTCATCCGGTTCCTTAGGTTTTTAGTAGTTTGTAGTTTGTATAGTGGAAGTCAGTTTTTTAGTAGTTTGTAGTCGGCTTAGTGGAAGTTGAAACTCCAAGCCACTATCAATTTTAGAGTTTGAGAAACTCCAGGAGCAGCCCAAGTGCTTGCTGGGGTCATTCAGATTTTTCTGTTTGGGGGGGAGGGCTTAGTCATAGCGTGTTTTTGTTGGTCCCTTTAAACAAACCACTTGAGCCACAATCAAAACCCGGGTAGATGAAGGCTAGTAAGGGACGATCCCCTTGCCATAAATAGCTGCGGATATCCGCCTTCTTGGTTCTTGAAGCATGGTTCAAGGTCGACCATTTGTGTACCGGGTTTTGTTATTTGACTCACTTGGGGGGGCTGACTTTGTCAATGGAACAAACAACTCCTTGGCCAGTTGTGTTGCCCAATTTGATATGAGTACCTGTCGGGTTTACTTTTTTGTTGGGGGTGTTGTTAGAAAAGGAGAGCAGACGCTCCTTTCGGACTCAGAAAAGTGAGAGGTGCCCTGTCTGGAGGATTTAATGGACACAGGTTGATGATGAAGAGAAAATATCTAAAGTAGTCTAGGGGAGGGTAAATCCCACTTCACCTAAAGCGGGGGTGATCCGTGTTGACAGGGCTTGCTGCTTTTGGAGTGTGCTGGAGTGGTTGGGTTTCATGTTAGTTGTCTGAGAGTGGAATTGCTTTCCTTGTGGCATGAGGCCATCCAGCGTGCAGGATAGATTTGGACTTTCTCATTTTTCGGAAAGAACAGTCCCACGAGCTGTGCACTTCGCGACATGGCATAATTGTTGTTTGGCCACGTTGACGGTCATTCCAGGGCATACCGCACCTTTGCCTAAATAAGGTGGCTTGGTTTGGCGGTTTGTTCCCCATCCACACTACCAATTAACGGGTAGCCGAATCCAATCCCGCAGTATCTCAAAGGCTTGCCCTTTGCGAGCATGGCAGCTTCTCAGCTCCTGAGATATCCCCCGAGAAGCCCAAAGGTTTGCCTCACTTCGAGCTGGACTTTCACTTGAAAAAGATCATTGTACCTCTCCACAACCCTTGAAACATGGGGTGACCTGACCATCAGGGGAATTCATGCTAGCCAGTTCCCTCCCCAAGATAGCACCTTCGGAATGGGACGCAGAAGTCCCTCCAAAGAATGTGAATGAGTAAGGTCCCCATATCTCAATGCCTGCCCACAGAATGGGCTGTCTCAAAATAGGGCACCCCCAAAATCCCACTTCCCTCACGAGAGAGCCGGCTTACCTGGCAGATCATGACCCGCTTCAAGGCAGGAACGGGATGGCGGAAGCCAAGCGAAACTGGTGAATTGTTAGTTTGATTCTTCAAGAAAAGCCAAACCAGCACCCCGCAACAACAAGAGTTGCCCTTCCTGGATGGTGCGTAGCAAGCACGCACTTCGGGGTACCCCCGAAATTAAGACAAGCCAATATTTGGGGGTTTGTCAACATCATGGCCCTATTTGGAACCTGGTGCCGCCTTGTGCCGCGCTCTTTCAAAGGGGATGCCACAAAGCGTCCTAAATTTTGGCACTCCCCCCTCCCCTCCCATGAAAAGGTTTGTCCAAATGTCACCTGTCCTTGGTTCTCTGCATGAGGCTAGGGAGGCAGAAGTATGTCCAATAAGGGACCGTAGCACGCCGGGGTGTGCGTTGGCAACGTGGAGCAGTTAGACCCTGTTCCAATAGAGAGGCTGGTCCGAGACTCCCATTGAACACTTGCCTCCTATAGAAAACTTGCAAACTCACCAGCGGCTTTGGGGTAAAGCCAAGACACTCAAGCATTTGAGCAACCCATCTTTAAGCCTTTGGGTCAAAGTTTGAGACGGACCTTTGGCATTGGGGCACGTGCCAAAAAAGGGGACCTGCAAAGTTGTGATCTTTTCGCTTCCCTGGGAGACCCCAAAAAGGGTGTCTCTCAAGAAGCCCAGGCACTGTTCCAGGGAGGTGACCAACTTCTGACGATGGGTTTGGTTCAGGGTTTGAACTTCCAGTGGTGGGTTCGCGCGCCAAATTGGCCAAGTGGCTGGTTCTCAGCACCCCTTTAGGTTCTCTTGCTCCGGTGGGAAAATCTGATTTAATTACCCTCTAGAGCCAGGGCTGAAGAACTCCGAATCCATTCCACCGGGCTCTAAACCACTGGCACCAATGGCAGGTTCTGTGAGGGAATCCTTTCAGGGCTTCTGGAAAGCGGAAGATCCCCGAAACGAAACGGGTGATATGATTCAGATAGGCCTTACTCCAACTCATTGCCGGAACTGGAGAAGCAGCAAGCCAACGAGGCAATGTCCTCAAAGCCTGCCAAGTCCGGACAGTGCAAAGGATGAACACTTGGCACTTTGGGTTCCTTTATTTGAAGGTCGAACAAGTGCAGCTCAGAGGTCAGAACCATGGTTCTCATCCCACCATGTCTGCAGTTGTTTTTTCAGACTGCAATATTGTCCGCTACTAAGCCTGACAATTCGATTGGATGTATGAGACAGGATAGGCCTTGAAGAACCAGACCCATGTCTGCCGCAACACAAGGTTGTTTAAACAGGAAGTGTTGTCAACCATGGTTTAAACAGGCGGAGTCGCTGAACCCTGATATGAATCACCATTAACCAACCACCTCTCACCAAGAAGTCGCCCCCCTTTTCTTGCTAATGCTCAGAGTAGGGAATGAGGGAATGAGCCAGATTTATCTCGGGCTGATTCCCACATTTCCTACCCATCGCACCAGCGGTTCTTTTCTTCCGCACGGGTACCCCGTTGCCGCGTAGCCCACCGCATGCCGCATACCCCATGCATACCGCGCGGGTCCCCCTTCAAGGAAACCACAAAACATGTTTATCTCGGGCTCATTCCTTCATTCCCAGCCAGTCTTTTTTTCTCCGCTCGCCTCGGATAAGTACCTCTGTTGCCGCATACCCTTTGCCGCGTACCCCACGCATACCCCACGCATACCCCTTCAAGCAAACCACCAAAAAAACGGTTTATCTCGGGGTCATTCCCTCATTCCCACCTAGTTTTTCTTCTTCCGCTTACCCCACGGGCCCGTTGCTTCGCGTTTTTACCCGGCGCGTAACTGCGGGGGCCCCCCGTTCTCACCGCGGAGCGCGAGGGCGATGAGGACATCCTAATGAAGAAGCTGGAGGCCCGGCTCACGGAGCTCCAGAAGCTGGGGAAGCTGCCCAACAAGCCCCTCGCTCCGATCGCGGGCGCGATCCGGGGGAGCCGAAAAACGCGAAGTCAAGCGTGTGCCAAAGGGAACCCCCAGCTCCGTTTCGGACTTTATAATAATTTTTGGGGGTTTGGGCCATTTTAGTGGCAAACATATTGGACTTGTTTTGGCCAACCCACTCAGGAAGTAGGAAGTGAGTTGCATGTTAAGAGGTGTTCTTCAAAAGACTTCTGGGGGCGTGGCGCTTCCCAATGAACAACCACAAAAAGTTTTGAGGATCTCACTGAAATTGGGCTCAGGACGATCTCTGGGTTGGACAAATGCGTGTTTTGCCAAACGCGTACCCTTGTCTACTTGAAACGAATCGCCTAACATTGCGATTCGGACTTCTCATCATCGAAGCGCAACCCAGAGAAGCGCAGGGGCTTTGTTTGGACATGCGTATAGCGTTGCCACTCACATTTGGTTTGGGAAAATGACGCAGAAGATGTGAACTTTGGGGCAAAGGCCACCCCGGCACCAATCCAATGAGCTTTGGTCCCGATTGTCTATTCATTGGGCTTGACATGGGCGAACTCAAAGAGAACACGTGGGACATATATTGCGGATAGGAAAGGTTTGAGACACCTCTCTGATCTGAAAATTATCCGGTTGGTGCAAAGAGCCACTTCAAGAAGTATAGAACCCCTTTTGCCAATACATGGTTGGCAACTGTCGTCATGTTCGAAACACCCTTTCAAAGGTTATTCCAGTCGGAAGGTTATGTCAGAAAGCTGAAAAGGTCATTTCGGTCTCACAAACCTCGTTTGTGTATTCGCAACTGGGAAGCCAATAATGTGCACGCGTAGGATGTGTGATTGGGGATGGGTTCGAACTAGATGTGTAAGCGAGGCTCAGGTTAAGACTAAACCCCTTCATAGTTCTTTCTCGAGCAAGCACAACGCCAGAGTAAACCTAAGCCCTGCGAGGACGCCACTGGATGTTTCCTTTAGTTTGCAATGGTGGTTCCCCCCAGGTTTCTACTATAGTGGCTTGCCTGGACGAACAAGGATAATGTGTTTGTCGATTCACTTGGAATCCCTTTCGGCTGAAACCATCTTTTTCCCCCGACACAAACCATGCGCACTACCCCAGGTTGAGGGGGTTGCTGGAGTTTTACTGGGGGCAAGGCACCCTGCCTTTCCGCGCCGTTGACCGCCTTGGACTAGTTTTGATAGGACAACTTGTCTGCAATGTGGATCTAAGAAGCCAGTTTGTCGAAGCATACCACTGAGACATGGTTGTTGGGACACATTTTACATTTTTCTTATTGTGGTTTAGTGGGAAATCCCCACTCAACTACTAAAATTTAGTTTTTTGATCCCCTTCCAACGTCAACCAAGGAGAATGAGGACAGTTCAAAGTGCCACGAGAGGCATCCACGTTGTTTTTCTCGCGGAGTCAACATTTGAGGTCCTTCAAGTCATATTCCTTACACGAAACGGACAGCCACATGGCTATATCACAATAGCGACCCAAAAAAATTGGGTGGTGTCCTTTGGTTTTCGTCCAACAACCACTTTTGGCTGGTGGTTCTAACCTTAAGTACCCCTTCTGCTTGGTATTTAGAGGAAATCCAAAGGCAAAAACAAAACATTTAAGGGCGCACCTGTTGGTAATTAATGGGAATTTAACGGGAAAAGCCAAGAAACCCGACCCAAAAGCCCCAAAGGCGACCGACCCGAAAAAAGTCCTTCCTCGACTTCAGGAAGGAGTGGTGGAGGATCGAGGTCAAAGCGGCGGCCGCGGCCTCGGATTGCGGAGCAAACCCTGTGCCTTTGCGTTATGTAAGGCTTCGTCCGGAGGGGAGGTGCATGGAACGCCTGTAATTTTTCCTACTAGTACTACTGCAATTACAACTACTACACTAGGAGTACTACTACTACTACTGCTACTGTTACTACTACTACTACTACTACTACTACTACTACTACTACTACTACTACTACTACTACTACCACTACAATTGTTACTGCTACTACTACGACGACGACGACAACAACAACAACAACAACAACAACTACTACTACTACTACTACTACTACTACTAGGACTACTACTGCGACTATTTCGACAGAATTTCATCCAATACCGATGTCTCCAAGGACCTGTAGAACGATAAGGAAAACGATAAGGGTGTTGAGGGTCAATTAAACGGGTATGGGGCTTCCTTACAACCCCAAGTCACTTGGTTTGGTTTCATTTGGTTTGGTTTGCTTGCAGTTGCTTAGGAACTCGTAATGAACGAGCCATGCAAGGCAGAAGTTGATATTAGTTAATAGGTGGTTCGTCTCATTGATAGGACTTTGTCCATCGCAGGCAAGCTGGATTCACCCATCGACGGTATCATGTCAATTGCGAGGGTGTCGAGGATAGCTGACACATAGTTGTTTGGTTATTTCTCCGGAGCTCTTGAACAGCGCACTGTGCTTCAGCCTACCTTTCCAGGCGTGGAAGTTGACATCAGGGTTTTGGAAGTTGACAACAGGGATGCCACGGAGAGTCATAGGTGTCCTTTTTGGTTGGTTTATCTATTTCCCCGAAAAGGACATCTATGCGGTGAGTCCTGAGGAGCCGCCTGCCCGCGCGCCTGGTGCCTGCGACAAGCTCCGGGCGACGCTGCCAGCCATCAGCGCCTTTGAACATGTTCGCGAGTGCAGGGTGCGAAATTCGAGGGGGAGTGTGTTTCTTGGTCGCAGCCATCCCTTCGTGTGTGTTTTTGTTTTGTTTTTTAGCTTAGGGTTTCATGGTAGTTTCCACTAAACCGCTGAACGTTCGACTTGTAGCAGTAGGTTTTGAGCTCAGGAAAATCGGATTCCGATCCATTCGCGGTTGCAACGCCGGACAATTTGGGTTGTGTTGTTTGAGGTACTCGTTTTGGATGGGCTTTAAAGGGCAACCAAAAAGGACACTACTTGTTAAAGGGTCAAACTTTTTGAGACAACCCCTACTTGTTCAACGTGCACCCAGATTCGTTGGGGTGCCACGGGCTTGAAAATATGTCGATTCTCTGGAACCCCATGGACGGTCCTTTAAGCATCGCTCTGTGCGTTGACAGTGTGGAGGATGCTTGAAGGGAGCTGTTTGCGCACGTTTTAAACGAGCTCAAAGGGTACCGAGCTTGCCCAAGATCGTTTACTTGGGTTCCAGTCTTGTTCGCAGATTTGCATTGCTCTCCCACAGATCAACATGGAACCTGAAAAAACACAACTTATAGAGGAATCTCCTTTTGGGTGACCGCCTTCTTGAGCAAGCCATGTTTCCAGAAAGCGGTTTTGGATGTGGCTTTTGTGGATGCACTCCTTAGGATACTAAAAGAGTACTAACAGATTGCTAACAGGGGGCACAACAGGTGAAATCCACAACAAACGCATCCAAGCCGTTTCCTAGAATGTTAATTTGACTTGGTGTTGTTTGTAATCTGTTCTATGGAACCCAAACTGGTCCACATTTTCGATCTCATCTCAACCAAAAGGGCGAGGCAACCTGTCGCCAGGCGAGGGGCGCCCAAGTGGTAAGGTTCGCCAAAATGCCCTGGAGGACAGTTGATTCCTTAAATATTGCAAGGGAACGAGGGGCCAAATAAAGCTTGCCATGGCTTGTGGTTCGCTTACTTGAGACTTGGGCACCCATTTTTTTTATTTTACAGACTTTGGGTGGCCAACATAGAACCCACCCGAGGGTGCCTGTTGGGAATAAATGCTCCAGATACTCTCCTGCAGGCGCAACATTAGGTGTCTCAGGCCGGCCGAAAGACGAGCTAGGAGTTTCATGAGGTTCCCAGCCTGTGACAAGATCCATCCCTGTCAACGGTGGATACCATGTTACCATGAACAGAGAAACGGACTGAGGTGCTCTCACTTCCCGACTAGGCGGGTTTGGCTGTTCGGCTTCTTGCAGCAAACGGCGCCGAAAGCAGTTCAGGTTTGGGGTGGTGCGGGCCCGTTGATCGTTTGGCCTTTCCTTGAAACACCGTCCAAAGAACGGAACATGATTGTTGGTTGCTTTCTGTAGGTAGGAAATGCAGCGGCTTCGTGTCTGAGTAAAGAAGACCTATACCGTTAAGTCCCAACTTGGGTGTGCTGCTTTGGGAACATGGACGAGGGTGTTTGGGTCGCAAGATCATATTTCAGGATTTGCTGTTTGGGTCAACAGCCCTCATATATATATAATAAGGTCCAAGCAAATCCTCGGGGTGGAAAACACGGTGAGTTGGGTCCTTCAACACACGACCGATGCACAATTTCTCAGTGCCAGGTGGCTTGGCGCGGACACCTGCCATGAGTCTTGGCACCAGTCGCGTGCTGCCCAAAGGTACTTTGGGGGCCTGGCTCGTCTTTCGAATCGAGACTCAGGATTTTCGCTGTGTGGGTGTGGGAAACCAAAGGAGACCCCACCATTTGTGGGGGTTGCCCTGTCCGAATAAGGCCCTCGACCCAGATGCAACAGTCGTCGGCATACACTTTGGCCAAGGGGGGTCCTCTTATGGGACCTTGTCATGGAAATGTGGCCTTGACAATCATAATCATTTATCCTTACCTTGGATTGCGACAAGTTGTTTTTTGGTTTCCCAATAATATGGATTGGGGTTGAACGCATGTGCATTCAGTCCTAATCATCATTGGAGCCTCCATTAGAGGGGGAATGGTATCTCAATTGGAAGGGTTTGGACCTCGCAAAGGGCCTTTGCGGGGTTCAATTATTCTTAGGGTTGGATTTTGTCGTTCTGAAAGTGAGGTATAGACACGTCAACTCTTGGGAAGTGAGGGTGCAAGACAACTACCTCAGTTCCACTTTTCCTGTTGCAACCTGGGATGATGGGCCCTAGGAATAAAAAAAGATAGGGATCCCCTTGTGGGTGGTTTTGAAGGGAACCATAGGAAACCAACACCTACGTAGAAGACTTTACACGTTGGATTGGACAAAAGAAATCAGAAGCACGCGCAGGTCTAGGAAAAGAGATACGGTGGCATACGGTGGCCCAATACTTCAAGTGACGAAAGGTCCTCGGTTTGGCAGGTTACTATTGCTTTGCGGGCGGGGGGGGAGGGGGGGGCATGCGTGGTGGAGTGACTCTCCGTCCTCTCTGTGACGTCGGCATGGCCCCAAGGTGATTCTAGCCCATTTTTCAGCTTGCTGCCTTCCTACCCCCTTGCTTCCTCTCCCTCCTCCCTCCCTCCCTCCCTCCCTCCCTGTCTTTCTACCCTGCTTTCCTTCCTTCCTTCCTTCCTTCCTTCCTTCCTTCCTTCCTTCCTTCCTTCCTTCCTTCCTATTTCCGCAACTCTGTACTTGCATTATCTTATATTTGAAGCTTGGAAGACAACTCAAAACACATGAAGATGATAGGGGCTCACAAACTGAAGCCACGAAAGAACCGCAAGCAAGCAACTTCGACTGTGCTTCATGTGCACACACATTAATTATAATATCAGCTTGTATATGGTGAATATATTAGGCACTATTTGGCGCTAAAAGCCCCCATTCGGATTGGTTGGGGCTCTTTTGGGGCAGGCCCTTGGAAACCATAGGACGGATGTAGCGCACCTTCCTTGCCCAAAACGGGACCAATTTTCCGAGGAGGGCTGTCTCTGATGAGCCTGAACGGGAGCTTCTTGGCGAAAGGACAACGAGGCTGATTTAGCTCGATTTGCATGCCCCCAAAACGACAGGGACCTTCTCTTATGCACTTTACTTGTTTCAATGTGTTTTAGGTTTGCAGCAGGACCATCATACTGTGGGTGGACGATCTCCATTTTGCACCACCTAAGAAACCCTGGAATGATGATTTCTCTGTAAAGACCAACAAACCTTCTGGTTTCAACCATGGTTTCTCAGTGGTGCGAGAAGCAGATTTCGTCCATCCACATGGATTGAAAGTTTGAGGTTGAAGCTGAGGCGGGCCAGTGGTCCAAATTGTCCCATTCACCTTCTGGTTTTACGCCGCATCCCTTGAAACCCCCATGTCCGAAAGGTCCGTAGATTGCAGCTCCCGGAAAGCAGACTCGCGCGGTCGCAAGAGTCATGGGCCCCCGTGTGCTGCTATATTGGGTCAGCTCCCATCGCCGAAAACAAGAAAACTGCCGCGCCGAAAACAAAGGTCACCGTCACAACCTCCATTTGCTTAAGAATATGCTTTAATTTTCCCTTGTTGGTCTTAAAAGGAATTCGTAACTGCTGGGAAAAAGTTTTTTTCCCCTGGGGCCACCAAATGGAAGACAAGAGAAGCTACTCTTTTGACAATTTTCAGTCCATCTCGTGCCGCTCGCTCGAACTTGTTATAGTACCAGAATTGCGACCGGATGGCCCCTTACAAGTACCTGGAGTCTCCATGACCCTTAAAAAATGGGGTCATTACCCAAAATTAAGGGGTCATGGAGACTCTAGGTATAGTTACACCTTTCGGAATGAATGGATTTTCCATGAAACCTACGAAAGGCTAGACCTTTTGCTCAGAGAGTAAGAGCAACCCAACTCTCTTGAGGCTGTTGCCTTTTTGCAGCTTTCTGTAAAACCAAGGAAACACACCGTTTTCGACCATCCCACCTCCCCCCTCCCCCAAGGCGGCAGGTACCGCATGCCACGGAACAACGGTTTTGGCCGACCGCTTTCAGCCAAAAACATCCCGATAGGACTCACCGGTTTTCAAGCGGCGGAAGGGGCCGGGTTGCCCTACCTGGAGTCTCCATGACCCTTAAAAAATGGGGTCATGACCCAAAATTCAGGGGTCATGGACCCATTGTTTAAGGGTCATGGAGACTCTAGGTACGGATGCCCGCTCAAGCTTGAAAGTAGGAAGCCCTGTATGGCGAGGAACCGTTCACGGAGAAATTTCAACGGTTGGAAGGGCAGTCGCGGTAAAGAGTGGTGTGAGGGGGCGGGTTCCTGGAACTTTCTTGGCCGTGTCTCGAATTGACAGTCAATTGGGGATTCACCACCATTTCTCATGCCACTAGGATACCTTTTTCATTGTTCTCCCAAATTGGCAGCGCGGCAGTTCTACGAATTGTCTGGTCTGATAAGGATTACAGTAGCTCCTTCAGCACATATTTATAACCACGTTGCGCAAGCCACTATGTTCGAGGAACATAGGGTATATATCCTTTCTATGACTATATTGTTGTTGTATAATTAAACCATAGGGCGTTGCCGTCTTGAGGCAGCTTCGGACTGCCCGAGTTTCTGGACTTTGGTTCAAGGAAGATTCATTTTCAGTAAGCTTTTTGATCAAAGGGTTTCAGTCTGAACATGTGTCTTCCCCAGAATGAGCTTCCCTTTTGATTTCTGTTTCTCCCCTTTTAAGCATTGCCTTTGCTTTCCACAAACCAGGCAAAACATGTAGTTTGCGGCAGGGTCCGAATTCCAGTCAAGGTTTAAGGAGCATTGTTTTAGTGGCAAACATCAAGTCTGGTTTTTTCTTAGCCTCAAGTGAGACTTTTCGAGAGATCAGGTTCGTCTCTGAAGCCCTCACCGGTCTCGACTTAGGTCCGCCACTAGCACACCGAACGAGAATGGCGAGAACGGTGAGATTGGCGAGAACGAAGACAGAGGCCTTTTTTTTTTTAAACGAGCTGTGTGCTGTAAAACAAGCTCACCAATGATGAAGGTCCTTTGCTTAGGTATGTCTCGTTTCCGAATTGTGAATTCAAGTCTGAAGTGAGGTACATTGCTTCGAAATCTTCATTGAATGCTGGCCACCCCAAAAACGTCCCAAATGGCAGGCAAGATTAACGCGTTGGTCAAAATCGGTAAGGAGTGCGGAGAAAGCTAACTTAAGCCTGTGGTTGTTGGGGACCCGCCTAATAGGGGATGCGTGTCGCTTGTTTGTTTACTTGCGAGCTTGTTTAGTTGTTTGTTATTTTGTTTGTTGAGTTAGTTGTTGTTTTTTTTGCCTGCTTGCTTGCTTGAACTTGCTTGCTTGAGCTAGCTTGCTAGCTAGCTAGCTAGCTTGCTTGCTTGCTTGCTTGCTTGCTTGCTTGCTTGCTTGTGCTTGCTTGTGCTTGTTTGTGCTTGCTTGTGCTTGCTTGTGCTTGCTTGTGCTTGCTTGTGCTTGCTTTTGCTTGCTTGCTTGCTTGCTTGCTTGCTTGCTTGCTTGCTTGCTTGCTTGCTTGCTTGCTTGCTTGCTTGCTTGCTTGCTTGCTTGCTTGCTTGCTTGCTTGCTTGCTTGCTTGAACTTGCATGCGTGCTTGCTTGCTTGCTTGCTTGCTTGCTTGAATTTGCATGCGTGCGTGCGTGCGTGCGTGCGTGCGTGCGTGCGTGCGTGCGTGCGTGCGTGCGTGCGTGCGTGCGTGGTTGTTTGCTTGCCTGCCTGCTTGCTTGCTTGCTTGCTTGCTTGCTTGCTTGCTTGCTTGCTTGCTTGCTTGCTTGCTTGCTTGCTTGCGTGAACTTGCTTGAACTTGCTTGAACTTGCTTGCTTGAACTTGCTTGCTTGAATTTGCTTGCTTGCTTGAACTTGCTTGCTTGAACTTGCTTGCTGGCTTGCTTGTTTGGTTGGTGGGTGGGTTGGTTGGTTGCTTGGTTGGTTGGTTGGTTCAATGTTTGTTTGTTTATGATTTGTTTCTTTGTATATGTGTTCTCTGTTTCTTTGTTTATTTGCTTCGTTGTTTCTTGTGGCTCTTATTTGCTTGCTGGTGTGCTTGTGTTCGTTTGCTTGTTGTGCCTCACAAGGTCTCAGACAAAATCCTGACACGGCTTCTTTGGGTGCCTTCCTGTCATATGACGTATGCTAGCTTTGATTGGGTATACTATATATATGTGTATATATTTGCATACAAGAACATACTATGCATCTTACAGCTTGTCACTTACCCTCCCTGAGCGTGGAAGCTCCCACGACTTTGTAGGACTTAGTTCCATTGGCCACTTGGGAGCTTTCATGTCAGCGCGAGGGCAGCTCCGTACTTTAAGGGCAAGGTAGATGAGTGGCAAGGTTTGTTCTAACCTAGGGGACTTAGAACTATAGGACATGCGGGATTGCCATGGTTACCAACCACATACTAAGTATGTTGCGTCTTGATGTGGACATAACAACTAAAACACGACCTCCAATGCCATTGAATCGAAGCATCAGACGCCATGGTTATAAACCACTAAAATCACGGTTGCACCCCCATCAGTTCGTTGTTTGCCCATGGCTGTTTACAAGTTACCCTGCCAAAGCCAAACATATATGATGCTGAAAGCAAGCTTGACTCACTTGCTCAAATCCAAGCTTGTGACCTTGTTATTTTCCGAATTTCCCCTTTCGGTGTATGTTTAGTCAAGGTTCCAACAGGTTAAGACTTGATTGATGGGTCCTTGCAACTGCGTTGAAGAACATGTTCCTCCAACAAGGCCTTCTGGCCTGAGGGTACTGATACCTCTTTTAACCCTTGTTGGTGGTTTGGATGGGTGGTTTGGATGGGTGGTTTGGATGAGTGGTTTGTATTTTTTTGGATTGGTGGTTTGGATTTGGATTTGAACTGGTTATTGTAGAGGGTAGATGGAAAACCACAGACGAACCTCCAGCAACCCAAACCACCAATTGATTCGAGGGAAACTGAATGGTTGGGGAACGTGGTTGTGGGATCACTCATAGTTGAAGGTCCATGGGACAGCCTAACCACCAAACCAAGCTGGCACTAATACTTCAGGTAACCCTTAGTTGGTGGTTTGGATTGGTGGTTTGGATTTGGATTTTAGTTGCTGGTTATTGTAGAAGGTCCATGCAAAAGCCGACCCCACCAAACCACCAATTCGGCTCCAGACCGACTGGGAGGAAGCTGAAACCCTCACCCCCCAGGTCGGGAGGACTTCCCCGTGTGGGCACTGGAGCTGGCGTGCAGGAGCTTCATGCCCGGGGGTCGGATTTTTTGAGGATCTCAATGTTTGGGGAGTGGGTTTAAAGGGAAACCACAAGGAAAGCCATAAATTTTGTTGGGGTGATTTTTGAGGGAACTCTTTTTGGGGTGGTTTTAAGGGGAAGCCACAAGGAAAGCCACTGATTTTGGGGGTCCCATTCTGAGGGAAGAATTTGCGGGGTGGTTTTTTGGAGGGGAAGCCACAAGGAACATAATTTGTTTGGGTCGTCTACAGAAAGACACAGCCATTCGGCTATGTTTTTTCAGAGTTGGACCCCCTTGAACGTCGTGGACCAAAAATTCCATCCGAGTTCTGATGCCCAGAGGGTTCCCAACCAAATTTCACACCCATTGAAAGGTTGGCTGTTTTTTTTGTCAACCACAAAAACCAGGGTTTTGCGGGGGTAAACAACCTCCAACAGAGAGAGGGGTTTTGTGGAGGTAATTAACATTACAAACAATCAAATACCTACCCAACAGAACCCGGGGTTGCCTAGCACTTGTTTTTTGTTTTTGTTTTTCCTTTGACAATGGTACACAGCTCAGACATGGCGATTCCTGGTTGCTTGGTCAGTCGGGCCCTGCCTATCGCACCAGCCAGGTTGACATCTCGTGTTTTATATCCACCGCCATCGATTTTTGCCCAGAGGGGTCGGCCCTCGAAAGCGATGTGTGGACATACCCACCGTTGTTGCGCCTGACAGGGACCCGGTCCCTTTAAGAGGAGACCACTCTTCTAGGTTTCTGCATCGCAGATGCGATGAATCTTCAGCTCGGGCCCAACTGTTTTTGACAAAACACCTGCATCAGCCAACTCCGCCGGAAAGCGGAAGAATCCAGCGGTTCTTTTGGTCTGGTCGCGATTGGCTTTGCTTCATGAGCTTCCTTTGATGGTTTTCATTGGTTCGGTGGTTGGCATGCACACGTGGTAACACAGGCAAGCTTTTGTTCGCCCCTGATATAAACGGGCGGACAGCAACCCCACCTGGATTCAGACATGTAGCGGGGGGTCACATGGACAGACCACAGTTTTGGGCAAGCTCGACTTTGCGTGTCCCGGGTTTCGAAAACCGGTGGCCTCATGAACATCCCATTTGCTTAAGAATATTTTCTTTATTTTCCCCCCAGTTGGTTTTTAGAGGGAATCTATTACTTGTGGAATGATCTTTTTATTTTTCCAGGAGGCTTAAGCAAATGGAAGTGAAGGGTTCCCTGCATCTGGCGTCTGGAATCCCACTTTCGAGTGGGTGAGTTAAAGGATCAACGCCTTCCAATGGAGGGTTTTAACCCCCAGAGTGCTGCCCTCAACCCACAAGCTGGACATCAAGGGGCTTTCGGTTTCCCTCCAGAATCCAACAGGGACCCGCCTTCTTCCCGATTGTGATACCCCAAAAATGTGTTGCTTCCTTTGGTTTCCCTTCAACCACCAACCAAAAGAATTCATTTTGAGAAGCCTCTATTTAGGTCTGTCTTTTTTTTGAGAGAACTCCTTTTTTGGTGGGTTAAAGGGAAACCAAAAAGGACAACTAAGCAATTTGGGTCCGTTGTGAATTCTTCTTCCATTTCTTGAAGAATATTGTTTATTTTCCCTTGTTGGTTGTAAAGGGAATCTATCACTACTGGCAATATATTGTGTTTTTTTTCCAGGGCGCTTAAGCAAATTGGAAGTCTTTGCTCCATATATCCCAACTTTGGCCCTGAGTTGGTTCTCGCGTCTTTTCGGAGGACCAGTGATGAGCGGACGGATGTCTCTTGCGAAGGCGGATTCGGCCGGAGGGTCTTTGAAAAACCCGGCAAGACCCGGGGGGTTTGGCATCCTAAGACAGGCTTCCGGAATCCAGTGGATTGCCGCTGTGATACCAAGTGGATCTAGGTCCCCCACTAGTGCCCTTTTTACCGTCTTTTTTGGGGGAGGGTTCCCTAACTAAAGTAGAATACAGAAAAGAAGGGTACCCTTATTCTAAGCTCTCTGCTGGAGAACCTAGGGATCTTAGGTATTCATGTGGACCGTTGGGGTTCGTGTCTTTGGTATCACTGCCTTGGTATCGCCAGGATGAAGGACCCGATTCTGAATGTTGATGAGAAACACTGTCAGGATCCTTGGGCTCCCTTGCCTCGTTTATATGAAACCCGTTCAATGTTAGATGTTCCTGCAGGAGTTTTCTCTATTTTTTGTCTGACTGTTTTTGTGGAAACCCATGTTCCGGAGTCCAGACAAAATTGGACATGTATAGAACGGCCCTGTGGCTGATTCCCGCTATGTCAAGCTGAAAGGGATGTGGCAACACAGACCACACGAACTGCTCTCGGGGCTTTTGGGGTTGTTGTCACTCCAGGGATTTTTTGAGTATCACAAGACTGAGAATATCAAAAAGGCTGCCCTCTTGTATGGGCGTGTGTTTTGGATGGTATCATTACCTCCATTTGCTTAAGAGTATCTTTCAATTTTCCCTTGTTGGTCTTAAAAGGAGTTCATCGCTACTGGAAATATTTGTATTTTTGCAGGGGCCTTTACCAAATGGACGATTCTCAGCTTGGTTTAAGGAGCTACCTGTTTCGGCATCAAGTGAGTTGAAGTGAGGCTAACCCAAGGCAAAAGCCAGTCCCCCCAAAGCAGCCCTTCCCAGCCATCCGGTTCAACTTAGGTTGTCAGATCTTTTTGGTTGGTTCAGTGGGGGGGGTCCATTTAAAACCCACTGCAAGTTAAACTTTTAGGGGATCAAACACGGACAGCCAGCCCAGTTTCATAGCTCTCACACCAGCACTTCTGACGTCGCTTCCTTTCTGGCGTCCAAGTTTAAAAAAGCAACATGCGGGCGTGCTTGTTTAGTTTTTTGGGTGCCCTCCCCCCAAAAAATGCAAAATGGTGGGTTTTCCGATGTCCTGCTTGGTTCCCTTTAAAACCACCAACAAGAGTGGTACCTTCAACAAAATTCAACCGCGCCCATGTCAGAAATTCATTGGCAAGGTACGTCGGCGTAAATGTCCAAGGGCAGTCCCCTGAGATTAGAACAACCACTTACCTGATTTGCGCTGACCCTTCACTCACTCATGCGCACTATGAAGGTAAAGGTGTTGACTAACAGTGTTTCCTCCATTTCCCTTTTTGGAACCTCGAGTGGCACGAGGCAAACTTAACGGGAATCCAGTGAACTTACCCACGAGGCAAAGCAAGTGAGACTGTTTTTTGTCCAACACCAAGTACAAGCCACTGTGTATTTTCCGTCAAGTATAAAAGAATACCTAGGAAGTAGCTCCCTTTCCTCACTTAACTCCTTGCTGGTGCTCAGTGAATGAGAAAAGGAATGAACCCCCATAAACCATTCATGGTTTCCTTTATAGGGGAATCCCGAAAACCGGTTAGGAGATGAGGGAATGAACCCCAAAAACCATCTATGGTTTCCTTCAAGGCAGTTCCGGTTCATTCCATTTCTCATTCCCTGCATCTCTGGCACCAACCCCTGTTTATTCATTTGGGGGTGTCCATTTCTGGCTTTAGTGGGGATTCAGACCACTGTTGGGGCCAAAACACCCCCATATCAATAAGGGGTTCTGCTTACATCGGGGTCAGCATTACTTCTTTTTTGTCCGACATACCTAATCTCGATTCCAGATTACATAACCCCCTTATTTGTGTGGCGGTGTCGGCTCTAGTGGGGACGAGACCACATTTGGAGGGGCCCAAAACCAGCCCCAAGTATGGGCATGGGTAAAAATACAACTTCCACCGGTTTTAGTCTTTGGTTCCATTTACCCGGGCAAGCCATTTTGGGGGCATTTTGGGATTCTCGTTTCGGCATTTCGGGGGGCGGATGTCCTCAGGTCTCAGGCCCGGGCTGGCGAAGCCGCCCTCCGGAAAGGCTCGTAGCCGTTGAGCGAGCGGAGAGAAGTCCGGGAGGTGATGCTCGATGCTCGGTGGCTGCCACGAAACAAAAACACACACAAAAAAGAACCAACAAAATGCGCTTCAGGGTAGGTAAGCACGCAAGTTCGCCACTTAGTGAACTAGTGAATGAGTTAGTGAGTTAGTGAGTTAGTTAGTTCGTTAGTTAGTTGGGTCGGTAGGTAGATGAGTTAGGTTGGTTGGCTGGTTAGTTGGTGGTTCGCCACGGTTACTCGCTTTCCCAGTTTCAGCACTTTAAGCTGCATACCCTATTAAACCCTTGTCTCCTTACACCAACAGGATGCGGTCGGAACAACGGAATTACTTCCGCGGCTTTCCGCACTTTTTGGAAAGACCTGTTTGGGGCGTGTGTGTCTTCTCAGTCTTCTCATGCACGCAGAAAACAATGAGTAAGCGAGAAAACACAATACATGCATAAAAAAGTTAAAACAAAAAAAAAAAAAAAAAAAAAAAAAAAAACATGCATGCATGCATACCTACATACCTATATACCTAGGTACGTAGGTATGTACCTACATACCTACATACGTATATACGTACATACATGCATACATACGCACATACATACGCACATACGCACACACATATACATACGTACATGCATGTACATACATACATGAATGACAGCAACAAACCCAGTCTCGGCATTTTGGCTTGGCCAATGCACTCAAGTGAGAAACAGCCACCCTTTGGGGAGTTGTTTTGTGCAAGGGCGATGCCATGACATCTCCTTGGTACTTGTTTGTGTTTGTGCTGGGACGGCTAAGGAGATGAAGGAGAACCTTCCAAGCCGACACGGGTTCGGAAGGTTCGCGAAGGACTGGTTAGTCTATAGGTCTGGTTTCTAGATGGTGGGTTCCAACTGCAAGCTCTAAACATGGTCAACTGAAAAGACCTTTTCTCTTTCTAAAGCATGTATATATATATATATGGACGGAAAGTAAACTTGGTGCTGTTGATGCCATACTTAAAGGCGCAAAGTGCTGGATAAGTATGGTTCCCTGACGTACCCTGCCCTATGTAATCAAGGCGGTGTAGTTGGAATGGGGCAAAAGCGGTGAGGAAAAACCCGCCGAGGACATCCCGCTTCCGTTTTGAGGGCAGCGGAGAGTTGGGGTCTGGGGCGAGGTGAGCCGCCGCAGCAGCCGCGGCAGCCGGACCTCCTCGGCAGGCCTCCGGACGCGCTAAGGAGGGCGACGGTTTTTTTGGACAGGGTGCGCCTTCGGGTTGTTTATGTGGGGGTGCTGCTTAATCCGGGGTCAACATTGCTCCTTTTCCTATACCTCCTCTCCAAAACCCAGATGACATAAACCCATTATTTATGTGGGGGTGTCGGCTTTGGTGTGGATTCAGACCATATTTGGAGGGGCCCAACACCAGCCCCACATATTATGCATCCAAAATCCCGCCGCTAGGTGCCCTTTTTAACCCCTTTCTTTTTTGGTTGGCAGGGTTCCCCTACTAAAATAGATAAGAAAGAAAAAAGTGTGTACCCTTATTCCAACCTCTCCACTGGAGGACCTAGTTTTGGTTTCAGATTTGACCCCCCAACAAAAACTATAAAATGTGGTTTTGTTTATCATGTTTCCCCTTACCAAACAAAAGGGGGCTCCCTAACAAAGGAGGTTGGACCCCCAAAAACACTCAAATTGGGTGGGTGGTTCCCTAAAAAAGGCAGACCCACTGGGGTCTCCTTCTTGTGATTTGTTTTGAGGCTACAATTGACTCTCAATTTTACAAGCTTCACAGACGCATCGGGACTCATATCCTCATAGTGGAGACTGTTCTAGGGGTACCTTCCCCATTCTTTCCAGGCATCCTTCTTTCTAAGAAACCACCCCAAACCCTGAAAAAACAGCTGGCTTTTGAAAAGACCGATGGTGGAAAAGAATGGGGAACCTAGAAATGAACTGAATATTTGTTTAGTACCATTGAAGCTGAGCTGCGGCCGCCCGATGACATCCGGTGGGCTAGATCCAAGATGCTTTGGCTAGGTCCCCCAGTAGTAGTGCCCTTTTACCAACTTTTTTTGGGGAGGCTTCCCCTACCAAAATAGACTACAGAAAAAGTTGGTACCCTTATTCAAACCTCTCTACTGGAGGATCTAGTTGGTGACGGAGCTGCTGCATCCAGATTGTATGCGATCGTTTATCGTACAAGCGTGTTCCAGTGGCATGACGAGTTTACATCGGAGCAGTTCTTGATAAAGCGCATGGATGCGGCCCCAGATGACTGCAAGCTCGTACTTTTGGATGAATCTTGCTACTGACACATTGTCCAGCAGCCGGGCTACGTTGCACAGTTGACTGGCAAGAGTTTGTCCTTTCATGTGTTAGACACCCAACTTCGACTGGTGTGATGATTTCATGACTGCAAGAATAATTACTCTGGCTTGAAGAACTGAAGCACAGGTCAAATGCGAACAAAAGGATGCAAATGCAAACCGCAGAGTCAGAAGTATCTGCTCAGGCGCAAACAATCTGAAAACAAGCGCCTGATGCCGGCCCTGCGCCAGAAAGCCCCCTACCCACCTTGACGACGCAGACAGCTTTAAAAAGAAAAAGCAAGAAACTCGGTCGAGGCTTTGTCGCTAGAACTGGTAGTACCTGGTAACGCCTCTGGGTGCGGTCGTTTACGCAGCTGTTGGACGTGAGTTGGCGATTCTGAAGCTGAATCTGAAGCTGGCTGAACACAAATCCCAATGTAGTTCATGTCCACCAGTGAGTTTTCATCTAAATACATACTCAAACATGGCCCGTATGGCCCACGTAGGTATTTGGCAAAACCAGGGACTCCTCTTCACTGGTTACATTGAGTTCCTTCAAAACTGCGTTGCGAGCAACCCTTGACACCAAGATGGTAACGGTGCACCGTCTTTAGCCAAACCACGGGATGGTGTTTCTGAGAATGGCTCTAGGAAAAGCATTGCTTCTTTGCTGGCTTGTTCCTACTCATGGCTTGTTGCCTGAGTTTTGCTGCTCTTTTCCTACACAGCACTCTTGAGTTTGGGAAAGCTTTGGTACCGCTCACATGAGTTTGTGTAAGTACCATGCGATTTGCTCATGACTTGGTCGACATCATTAGAGGCAGGATCGACATGGAAATTCGGGATTGCACTCGGTGCTGGCAGGGTCGAACACCGCGGCCGACCGACTACTCTACCAAAAAATGGCTTTGAAGCAGGGCTGGAATGACGATGCGCACTGCGCCCTACTCCAAAACGCTCCAACGGCACTTGCCTACTGCTTTTGGAGAATCAAACAAAAAGCCAATGGTGCGCCTCCTGCTCAAAGGGCATTCTTTCGAGGGATCCTTCTTTTCAGGAAGCCATCAAAAACTCAGGGAAACAGCTGGCGTTTGAAAAGAACGGTGGTTGAAAAGAATGGGAATTCAACCCCTAGAGCGTTGTATTTCTTGAAACCGTCAACTTCCTCGCTGGTTTAGTATTTTGCATATGCGCACCCGGGCAAAACTTATCACTTTGAAGGCTGGAACTCCACCTAGTTGCCAACCAGGAAGGCCAAGTTGGCAAGCTGTTGTACTGGTGGGGTTGTGGTGTCGCTTGTGGTTGAGGTCCTTGTTGTTGTTGGCCATTGGGCATTCTCGGCCATTGTGTGTGTGTGGTGTGTGTGTGTGTATGTCTGTGTGTCTGTGTGTCTGTGTGTCTGTGTGTCTGTGTGTCTGTGTGTCTGTGTGTCTGTGTGTCTGTGTGTGTATGTCTGTGTGTCTGTGTGTCTGTGTGTCTGTGTGTCTGTGTGTCTGTGTGTCTGTGTGTCTGTGTGTCTGTGTGTGTGTCTCTGTGTCTCTGTGTGTCTGTGTGTCTGTGTGTCTGTGTGTCTGTGTGTCTGTGTGTCTGTGTGTGTCTCTGTGTCTCTGTGTCTCTGTGTCTCTGTGTCTCTGTGTCTGTGTGTCTGTGTGTTTGTGTCTGTGTGTCTGTGTGTCTGTGTGTCTGTGTGTCTGTGTGTCTGTGTGTCTGTGTGTCTGTGTGTCTGAGTGTCTGTGTGTGTCTCTGTGTCTCTGTGTGTCTGTGTGTCTGTGTCTGTGTGTCTGTGTGTCTGTGTGTCTGTGTGTCTGTGTGTGTGTCTCTGTGTCTCTGTGTCTCTGTGTCTCTGTGTCTGTGTGTCTGTCTGTGTCTGTGTGTCTGTGTGTATGTGTGTCTGTGTGTCTGTGTGTCTGTGTGTCTGTGTGTCTGTGTGTCCGTGTGTCTGTGTGTCTGTGTGTCTGTGTGTGTCTCTGTGTCTCTGTGTCTCTGTGTGTCTGTGTGTCTGTGTCTGTGTGTCTGTGTGTGTCTCTGTGTCTCTGTGTGTCTGTGTGTTTGTGTCTGTGTGTCTGTGTGTCTGTGTGTCTGTGTGTCTGTGTGTCTGTGTGTCTGTGTGTGTCTCTGTGTCTCTGTGTCTCTGTGTCTCTGTGTGTGTGTCTGTGTGTCTGTGTCTGTGTGTCTGTGTGTCTGTGTGTCTGTGTGTCTGTGTGTCTGTGTGTCTGTGTGTCTGTGTGTCTGTGTGTCTGTGTGTCTGTGTGTCTGTGTGTCTGTGTGTCTGTGTGTCTGTGTGTGTGTATGTCTGTATGTCTGTGTGTCTGTGGTGTCTGTGTGTCTGTGTGTCTGTGTGTCTGTGTGTCTGTGTGTCTGTGTGTGTGTGTGTCTGTGTGTCTGTGTGTCTGTGTGTCTGTGTGTCTGTGTGTCTGTGTGTCTGTGGGTCTCTGTGTCTCTGTGTCTCTGTGTCTCTGTGTCCGTGTGTCTGTGTGTCTGTGTGTCTGTGTGTCTGTGTGTCTGTGTGTCTGTGTGTCTGCGTGTCTGTGTGTGTGTGTGTTTGTGTCTGACGCGGGTTGTTGCTATGTTGCGTGTGTGTTCATGATGAATCTTGCGCGTGCATGTTGGTGATGTGTAGTGCGTGTCTTTTGTTTGTGGTTGAGTGCGGTTGTTTGTTGTTTCATTTCTCCTCCTGGAATTGCTTTGCCGTTCGTCGATGTTTCGCGTCTCGTTGTCTGTTTATACCCGACATGTGGATATGTGTCAAAGTGGGGAAACTACAAAAAGAGTGACTTTCCTTTTGGCGTTCTTTTGATTGAAATACCCCCCGAAAAGGGTGACTTCAAAAACACACCCACACAGACACACACACACACACACAGACACACGCACACAGACACCCACACACTCATTCGCTCACACACACACATGGATGTGGCTCAAAACTAAAGAGCTAGGGTTACCCAGGTTTCGGCCTTGGGTTCCATTTACCGAGCTGTCATTTTGGTAAAAGTTTTTTCGAGCCACGGCCACATGTGTGGGTAGCACATCCATAGCCAGGCACGGCCAAAGAAGCACCTCCGCGGCCTCCGCCGAAGAAAATCAGCGCCTGGGCTTTGTAGCGCCTCGCGGGGAACATGTCGAGTGGGTTTGCCGGGGGTTAGCTCAAAAAGTGGGCTTGCTCGGGCTTTTTTTTGCAGACAACTTTTGCGGTTGTGCTTTTGTTGCATGTGGGAAATGGAACCCCCCTTTGAAGTGAGAAAGTCTAGCTATGCAAGTGGCCCGCTGCGGCAGCACAGAAACGGTTATAGTAATTTGACAACATGTGGGTGTGAGGGCACACTTTTTGGGGTTGGTTTAAAGGAAAGCTACCTATTTTGAGACATACCCATGTGGTGAGCAACGCTTAGTCTTGGGAGGCGGCTTCCCTCTCAACCACGGTTCAGATAGGAATGCTAAGACGCTTTAGACTTTCTTAAAGGAAACCTCCCTTTGAACCACCACGAGGGTACTTCTGAAGATGTTTTTTTGCTTTTTGGGTTGGTTGCGATTTGACCCACCCTTGGAGAGCAACCAAGAGGATGTCGCTCTGGATCTAAATCACTCTGTGTCCTTCATCCCGAAATAGAAAAGGTGGCCTGGCCACTCTGAGATGCATGCGGAGCACCATGACTAGGTCCCCCAGTAGTGCCCTTTCTCACCCATTTTTTGGGGGAGGGTTCCCCTACTAAACTAAATTAGTCTACAGAAAGAAACGTTGGTACCCTTCTTCCAAGATTCTACCCTCTCTACTGGAGGACCTACATAAGAATCGCGGTCTCTCGCTGAATTCATAGCTTGGCAGGAAATCAGAGTGCGATCCTCGTCAAGGCTTTGTGTTTGCCAGTGAGTTTTCACAGATGCCAGCTGGGGGCCCACTAACAAAGACGCACCCACTTGACTGTTATTGGGTTGGATCTTTAGACTTTAACTTGTCGGAAAATCAAGGGTTTTTCACAAAACCCACAAACAGTTACAACTTTTCGCAGAGGTCAACAGCAACAAGACCCATTTAAAGGTCCAGCTTGCCCTTCAGAGGCCTGCGCGGCTCCTGCATGACCTCCTTTGCTTCGATCAAGGCTGGGGGGATTTCAGCTCGCCAAGAGAGGAAAGAGGCCAATAGGGGACTCCCAGAATTGCGGCTTTGATATTGTTACACCTGGTGGCTCCCAGCCATCCCCTTAGCTTATTAGCTTTGTAGCTTTTTAGTGCTTTGGGCATTTCAATTGAACAAAAACACTACTTATATAACACTTTAGCGGGGGATCTGAGGACAACCCTGTTTCTTTTTTTTTTTCTTTTTTTCTTTTTTTCGGGGGGCGCTGCGGGCTTAAATAAAAATCATGGGGTTGTGGGGCACTGCAAAGCCAACTTAGGACATGATCATAGGAGTAGACAAATTAGTCATTGTGTAGCTCCTTATATGGGTGTAGGTCAAAATTAAACCACCAGAGGACCGCTGGTTTTAGTCTTTGTTTCCATTCACCAGGGATTTTGGGTACATATTTTTGATCCACTGCCATATTTGCCTGCCCTTTCGGGTTGTCAAGGAAAACGCCATGGACGCTAAGGTTCCTTTTTGTTGGGTTTCCCTCTCCTACAAGGCACCAGAGGGTCCCTTCCTTGATCTTGCAGGTACCATGTTGGGCACAGCAGGTATCCTTTCGGAGCCCTGTTCTGGATGGTTTTGATAGCCGCACTATTTCAGGAAGCAGTTGGAGTGTCGCAAAAACGGTTGAATCAAGGAGTAGCCACCTTTAGGCAATTGAATACAGATGTGGATTATTCATGCGATGACACCCATTTTGCCCCTGTGAACGGCGGTTGGAGGACAGGTCCTTATTATTTTTGCCCCGCCCCGTTAAGGGGACACCTAAATAAGTTGGTCTATCTTTTTTTTGATTAAACTTGTTGCAGTCTACCCCGAAGGCTCTCAAAATTCGAGCAATGCTCAAAGAACCTTCTCGGGAACGTTTTGTGTTTTGCTTGGAGGTGTTGCTTGTGAAGATCTGCGGGGGGGCTTTTGCAGCCGACCATGCTGTTGCAATCCTTTCGCTTGAGACTGGCGCAATATGCCATGGCTCCCAGGATCCAAGATGTCGCCCAGTAAAAAGGGAGGGCTCCCTCCAAAACTGGTCTGAATGTCTGCGAAAAGGGGACACACACACACACCCCGATCAATCAACCAGTGCATTCATCCGGGGTCAACATTGGCAACCTTCGCAACCTGCCCGTTTTTCCCCGAAGACGCTGGCTTCCGGAACCCAACTGCCCAAAATTCCATGTCCCGAATCCACACTGTCCAACAAGTGGCGGGGACCTGGAGTTTCCTTCTTGTTGCGGGTACAAACCTTTTCCGTGGTTTCCAAAGGTAAACCCAAGGCAGAACTCCGTGGTTTTGGGCGGAGCAACTTTAAAGGAGAAGCTGATTGTTTGGCGGGGCAAGGTTTTTGGGGGTGCGGCTTCCTTTCATCGGAGTGTTCCAGCCGAAACCTAACGCGGCAGCCTCGAACTACGATGCGAAGGCGATGGCATCCTATGCGAACTACCCCGTTTTGGTTGGTTCTGGAGGGGAACCAAAAGGAAACTCCCGCATTCATACCCATGCTATGAGTCTTAAGAGTTGGAAACCTGAATGGTGGACATACGAAGGTCCCCAGTTAAATTTCATATTCATTTCAAGGTTGACTAAATGTGGGCCAGAATAAAGCACATATGTCACATATTTTGAGGGTTCCCTTCAATTTGTCTTTTTCTCGGCAAGGTTGGAAATCCATTTCCGGGTATCTATTTGGAGACAGGTCGGTTCATTACCTTTCGAGCTGACTCTAAGTCTTAAACCGTGGTATCCGGTAGCCAGCTACATCCAGCTACCAGGTGCGACGCAGCTGTTTTGTTCAAAGGGTAATTACCCATTCTCCCCAATTGCCATTTGCTTAAGCATTAAAAACAGAAAATCCCCTGTTCATGGTTGTCGTTGGGAAACACTTTACATTTTTGCTTATTGTGGTTTAGTGGGAAATCCCCACTGAACTGCTAAAAATTAAATATTTGCTCCCCTTCCAACGTCAACCAAGCGTTGGTTTTTATAGGGAATCTATTGCTATTGGAAATATGTGTTTTGTTTTTTGGTGTTTTTTTTCCAGGGGGCGAAAACGCACATGGAAGATACACGAACGCCAGGCGGATGCCAAGCAAAAGAAGGCCGCCACCTCTTTGGACACTCGGCGAAACGGAGACGGGTGACCACCCATCGGTGGGTTGATCTGAAAATTATGATCTCTGGCGGATGTTCACTCCAAAACCAATTTGGCTTTGTCTCAAAAGGGGATCTGAAAACAGCTGGTGACGTGCCCTTGGTTTCCCTCAAGACCAACCTGAACGCAATTTGATGAATTGTCCTCTGTCACAAAACAAATTCATTTTGGCTTCACACTAAGTGCCCAAGATTCTGCACATGTTGCTTTTGTTTTTTTTACCGAACTGACATGAGAAAGGTCCCTTGCTTGGAGAATCCTTTCTTCCAGCTTGCTACAAAAAGTAACAAGCTTATCCACTTACCTGTTGTGTTGTTTTAAGTGGAATGTGAATACTGCATCAACCTGGCATCGTAAAGTTTGTGGGAATGTCCAGGATGCCAATTTGTATCCGGGCATACAGCGAGATCAGCGATTCGGAAAACAAAGGAGCTCTCACTTGTACCAGTTGGTTGTTCGACATTGGGGATCCCTAATCCCAATCCGCTGGGTGAGCGCGGATCATTGTCCAAATACTGCCATAAACCTCGGGATCCCAGGTTGCTGCCGGGTTCCTTGCTTAGTTTCACGAGCTGCGATAAGGGCTTTCCAACTAAGGGTGTATACACTGCCATCGGACCACCCGGTGCGTGAAGCCATTGGACCCTGGTATTTGGTCGACCCATTGAAGGGTCCGAAGCAGGGTCCCCAGACAGTTTTTGCCTGTCCATGTAGCCTTTGAATGCACTTAAACCCATCTAATTCCTTCTCAAAATGGTGGACCCCCTTTTACTAGGTAGTTGAAACTTCTTTAAAAAGAGAAGCTAAACGAAAGCAACTGTTTTAGGGGCCCTATTTTCAGCAACACTTGCACGTCGGACTCAGCGTTCGGTCGCTTCCGAGGATGGATATGAATACGATGGGCCACAGTCAGCAAGTGCCTTGTCAGTTCAATTGGAGAGCTGCCTGACTGGGGTGTGTCCTCTTGGAGGCGACCGTTTTTGAGGCTGGATTTAAAGCGTAACTTCAACAACAAACCTCCGGTTTTTCGGTTTGGCGGGGGAGGGGGGGTTGGATAACGTATTTAAGACACATTAAAGGGGACCCTGCTTTGCCAAGCCCGTTTTTGGAAAACCCTCACTTTGAGCCCGAAACGGCCGGTTGGGTTGAAGAAACCGCTAAGGCCCCGACCTGAAACGCTCCATCCCCTTCTTTCAGGTTAGTTTAATGGGACAGCGAAAGGACATCCACCATTCTGAGGTCTGGGGGTTTCCTTTTTGTTTGTGTGTGTGTGTGCGTGTTCCTTTTCTTTTTTGTAACCCCCGCGAATGGTTGCTTCCTTTGCTTCCTTTCGGTTTTCCTTGAAGGCCACCAAAGCAGGGGTACCAAGACTACAAAGGATAGCTTTGAGAGGGTATGGCAAAGGGAGCCGAGAAAAGCAATGAGTGACTTTTACGAGTCGAGAAGCAGTGTGCCAACCTACCTGGATCTGGTGCTCAGCAAGAACGAGGAATGCAACTTCCAGCGACCGCGTAAAAGCGAAAGACGCCTTCCGCGGTGCGGCAAGGAGCATCAGTCAAGGCAGTCAAGGCACAGCCGCGCAGATCAGGCGACACAGCACAGCCGCTCAAAATCCGGATGAAAACAAGCGCAAGCAGAAGCGGAAGTGTGCTTTATGGATCGGAATCAATATGGGTGTGTCTTTTGTAGGACTTAAACCCCCAAAATGGTAGTTTCCCTTTCGCTGTCCCTTTAAAACCAAAAAGAAAGTAGCTTCAACAAAGAGACACCCATAGTGGATTCTGCAGCTGTCTGACTGGGCTTTGCCGACTGTAAATGCGAAATGGGTTTGTAGTATATGTTAAAATTGGTGGGACCCCACAAAATTAGGAAGGCGTATTCCAAGCAATCATTCCTAAAGGAGGACACACCATCCATGGATTGGCATCGATATTGCACCTGGAGTATCCCAATGCCCTCCCAAACATGGGAATTAGTCCCTGTTCACAAGTGCATTCTTGCAACTTGGCATGGACGCCCAACACCTCCCAAGAAAGAATCCATTGTGGAATGGACCTTTGCCTTTGGGGCTTCGTGCGCATCTTTACAGAGTCAAGTTTACTTCTCGTTCAAGCAATTTAAAGCAACGATGTCGCGGGGCTGTCATCTCAGGGGGCATTCATCGTGTTGTCCACGGCTTATCCAATGTTCCCCTCCAACAACTTTCCCGAGCCCAACATAAAATATAATCCTCTTTCCAGCCCAACTGGCCGCAAACCCGTGGAAACCAAGGGAAAGGTTCACCCCCCACACTTCACTGGGCTTCAAAGGCAATCCTTAATCTTCCACAGGGGTGGACTTAACCAACGTGTTGAACAGCCTGTTCACGCCCAAAAGATGCTTCGGGATGTGCTTCCTGTTTTCGGACTTAACACGTGTTTCAGGTCGACACCAAAAGGAAACCACCCGCTCGAGGTTGGAACGAAACCTCTTTTTGGATTTCAGCTCAAATTATTTCCCCCCTCCCCCCCCCCCCCCCCGCTTTTTTTGGGTTGGTGCCAAAGGGACGTCAGGAAAACAGTCCCCTTTTTTGGACAGCATTTGTAGGCCTTGGAGACGCAGTGCTGTTTATTTTCCCGAGCGTGCGCTAGTCCTTGCGTGAGGCAATCGGATCCCTTTCAATCAGTTCGCGGGATGGGGGGATTCCACTTCTTAAGCGTGACTCTTCACTTGGGTTGCTGCGAAGGGAAGAAAAAACACGCCATCCCTTTTTGTTGGTTCGGCTTCCGTATTTTTTGTTTTGCTTTACACTAAAAAAAACACTATTTTGGTTGCCGTGCTTCAGGGACAAGAGAACGCCATCCCTTTTCCTGGTGCGGCTTCTCTTTTTTTGACAACCATAAAACCAACCCTCTTCGGAGACTTACCACGGTAAGTGGGTTGTCAGCCTGGTTACCAACCACTGACAAACTACCCTGCTTCCTCAAGTGATGGTTCGTTCCCGTTTGGCTCAGTTCGGCTTCGTCTCCAGTTAGATAGCCGCAAAATGGTGGTTTTCCCTTTGGCCTTAAAGCCAACTCAAAAGGCCTTTCCCTAAAAGACAGGCCCGTTTCAAGTAAGGCTGGTTTGGAACCAGGTTCCTTTGTTTCAACCACCAATTCATTCTTGGTTCATCCCGAAGAACAGCCTTGAGAAGGCTTCCCATGGCTTAGCCACGATGGGCTTCCCTTTTGGTTGGGCTCCCCCTTGTCTCACGCTCTGAGTTTATAGACTTGCCACTTGGGAAGACCAGGTTGGTGCTAAACCAAAGCTTTGGACTTGTCTTTTGGGCCAGTTCTACTACTTTTTTGCCAGTCCACTGACCTTTTGCCAACAGAGGGTCCAAACCTTTTAAGCGTTTGAAAAACCGATAGCCACTCCTCACTTCCTGAGTTCATGGACTTTAAACTTTTTGGGTTTGGACCAGTTTAGTGGTAAATAAGCAAAAATCAGACTTTTTTTGGCCAGTCAACTTGAAAAGTGAGACTCTCAGGAAGTGAGTTTTTTATCGCACATCTCCAAACCGGCAGTTTTCGATCCGTCGATCCGCTTCAGGGACTCCAGAGCTGCAGCGGCGCAGCGCCCGGCGCTTCCATTCCGCGGGGGCGCGGGGCTCGGAGGGACTTTGATCGAGCGCGGGTTATTTCGGCGGTGCGAGGGGAGGGCGGAATTTTCGGTTTGGTGGGTCAACCGGGCGCCTGAAAAAACATCGATACATTTTGCGTCACCATTTGAAACATGTGGGATTTTTTTCAACACGGAAAGAGAGTAAGACCACCATCTACAAGTTGCAATGTTCAGGTGTATAATGTAAGGATCCCTGTTCAACCAGCCATGAGGTTCGCTAGCATAGAGCCACTTGCTCAAAACCCGGGTAGATGAAGGTTAGTAACAGCCAATCCCAGCCATAAATAGCTGCGGATATCCACCTTCTTAATTCTTGAAGCATGGTTCTGGGTTCACCATTTTAGTACCGGGTTTTGATTGTGGCTCAGGTGTCCTTTTTGGTTGTTCTGGTAGAAAAATAGATGGCCCTGGTTTACCTAGTGGTTTAATCCCAGGGCCATCTATTTCCCCTAAAAGGACGCCTATGCTCGTTAGGTTTTTTTGGTTGTGCTTGGTTGGTTGGGTAGTAGTTTTCGGTTCCTTGTGTATTTAGCTGTGTTTATTTGGTTTAGGGGTAGTTTTTATTTAATTATTAAAAGTTAGGCTTTTAGCAGAGGCGGACAGCTCAGTTTAAGCTCCTTTTGATTTGTGGCTCATGATTATCCCCCAGTAGTGCCCTTTCTCACCCCTGTTTTGGTTGGGAGGGTTCCCCTACTAAAATAGCCCACAGAAAAAGAAACGGTACCCTTATTCTAACCTCTCTACCGGAGGACCTAGAATATAAGTATTATATAGTTATGATCCTTGGAACTAGAACTTTTTGGGACGACACAACAAGTTTGGACTTCTTCTGGCCAATCCGCCCAGGGAGTGAGAGTAGAGTCTATTTTGCAGGCCTATCCTGAGACCTCCCCCCCTCCCCGGAAAATTGTTTCAATCATGGGCCCTAAGTGTCCATCTTAACGCCTTTGTTCCCCCTACCCCAAGCTAGTCCCTCCAAGTAGCTGCCTTCTGAGGGTAATTGCATGTTCAAAAGTGCAGCTTTCCAGAATAAAAATACAATCTTTGTCGTCAGGGTTGGACAGCATGCCCTAAAACATGGTTGTTGTTGGGAAACATTATACATTTTTGCTTGTTGTGGTTTTTGTGGTTGAAATCCAAATCCACTTAACTGCTGAAATTTTGAAATGTTTGCTCCCCTGCCAACGTGAACCAAGCCATGCTTTGGATTTTGGACCCATGTGCCAAGGTCAAAGGAGCTGATTGCTTGTCGTGGCCTGGGAGTTGGGAGTTTCGACACATATGTGCCATGGTCAACACCCAACCCCCTCCCCCGGCTAAAAAAAAACACTTGACCCGAACTGGAACCCGAACCTGAACCCGAACCTGAACCCGAAAAAGGCAAGGAACATGGGGGGGGAGCTCTTGGTCCTTGGCTTCGCCCCAAGCCGAAGGTGCGAACAGCACCCGCGGCGCCGCTGATGCCGCGGATGCGGGACATCCGAACGCCCAGACCATGAGGAGGGCGCGCCGAGCTTGGGTTGAGTCTGGGGTCTCAGTGCCCGACATGTGGTTTGTTTTGCTGCCTACCAGAACTCAACCAGTTCACACACACACCAGGCCCCAGGACCTACCTTTTTTGTAAACTCTGGTATTGCAGTTCTACCGGGTTTTAAGCTTTGGGGAAAGCAATGAAAAAGACGCATGTCCAAGGACATTCGGGAAGCTTCAGGCTCGGTTTGAACCCATTGATTTTAAATCGGGCCTGGATTCAAGATTCACGATTCAAGAATCCAGGCCAAACTTTTCCGGGGAATCTTGAATCCAGGCCTCGATTTAACCCGATTTAAACGGATTTAAAGAAAGAACGTGCCTGGAGTCAAGATTCAAGATTCCCTGGAAAGGTTTGGCATGGATTCTTGAATCCATGCCCGATCTAAATCTAAATCGGCTTAAATCGGTTTAAATCGAGGCCTGAATTCAAGATTGACTGGAACAGTTTGGCCTGGATTCTGGAGACCTTAAGAATCCAGGCCCGAGGCAAAATCTAATTCGGCTCACAGTTCAACATGGCACTTTGCGCGGCTGTGCTTTGGCTCAGCGCTGCGCCAGCATTTATTTTCTGATTATTCACTCAATTTCCGGTTTCAAGTTGAGTCAATCTAGGCCCATATTCAACATTGCAGGCCAAAGTTTGGTAGAGGATCTCGAATCCAGGCTCGACTGCAATCTCAGTCGGTTTCAATCGGCTTCACTCGGGCCTGGACTTGGGTTTTTAGAGAAGACGTGGCTAGGGAATATGGAACCTTGAATCTTAAATACAGGCTTGGATGTTTGTCCTTATCAAATTATGTAAGCTCAAATTGAGTTGTCAGAATCCATTGGGAAAGGAATTTCTTGAATTCTAAATTTCAGATATAATTCCCGGTAGGATTCTGAACAAGTATTTCCGTATTGAGTCCCAATTAAATCCTGTTCAAAACCAAAATAACATTTCGAGAGCGGTTGTTAGTGGAGATGTGAATGTGAATTGAGTATGAAACACGCTACACAACACTGTGTTTTACTCATGGGAGTGCTAGGACTAGTGGAACGGCACAAGTTTGGGACCTCTGGTTTCTTTCCTTATGAAATCTGCTTAATATGTTTATCAAGTTCGGCCCAATATCTAATTTTGGATAGAGTTTAAGAAGGAAGACTCCAGTCAGAATTTCGATTTAAGATAGAACCTATGTATTGATTGTTCTATGTCAAATTGCGCAAGGCTTCCTTTCCAATAGACAATTATACTTGAAATTCAAGCACTATACGACCTAGAGATAAATGGTCTAGTCCTAGTTTGGTCCTAGTCCAAGTTGAGAGATCCTTGGTTCTAGGCCTAGTGTGGCCCTGGCTTACTGAAATAAATTGAAAGTATAAAGGACATGGCGCAGGAGGTTCCTTCTGAATTCTATTTAGTACATGTATCAAGTTCTTTGCACCTGCTAACTGAATCCAAATAAAATTTTAGAATAAGGTAGCAATCCATTTATTATGTTCACTTTAAATTGGAATTCGAACATTGGCTATGCGGTTTCAATCCAAGGATTTTATTTCCAATAGGATGGAATACTTGACACCCAGTTGAGAGATCCTTGGTTCTAATAATAGGTTTGTCCTAGTGTACTGAAATTATTAGAAAGTATCGAGGACATTACAGAGGAAGTCATACTTGAAGTTCGAGTATTATAAGAATCAGAGGTGATCGTCTAGTCCTAGTTTGGTCCTAGTCCTAGTTGAGAGATCCTCGGTTCTAGTCTTATTCGGACCTAGTCCTAGTTGAGAGATCTGGGCGGGGGGGCGGGGGTAGCACATATATATATATATATAGATATGTGTGATGGAGATTCGGTGTCGAAGTTCATGTTTTGACAACTCAAGCCCTGTTGGTGTTTTGTCAAATGTGCAGGAGATGTAAGGATTTCAACGGTTTCGCAAATGGGTTTTGGTTGCAGAGATATGCTGACTTTCTCAGTACTCAGAAGAAAGATCTAGTGGACGAGAAGAGAGATTGGAATTACTCTAGGGCAGAGGCGGAGAGAGCCTTTTTGGGGGAGGGTCTACTAAAATAGACCACAGAAAAAAGGGTACCCTTATTCTATCCTCGCCACTGGAGGACCTAGTGTATCTGCAATTGAGTGGTTGGGGTGGGCACGTGCGGGCGGGCACGCGCTACCCCCTTCAAGCTTTGTCGCCTGAGCGTTGGGGGATGGGTGTTGTTTTCGGACAAAAAGCATGGGACAAAGGGACGGCCCTTTTCCGGATTCAGTCCAAGGTCTTTCCCGAGCCAAACGTGACATAGCATTTTTGGGGGTACCCCTTTTCATTGTTGGGGTAGAGGACAACTTTGGAAAGCTTTGTTGTATGTGGCGCCCCTTGGCAAATCGGGTACCGACCTCAAAACAACAGAAGCTTTTGTACGGGGTCCTTGCGCAGGCAGGGACATTGGCACCGATGCGGACAAATCCGCAATTGATCGCCAAGTGGCCGAGCGGGCGGGGCTGAGCATATTTGACTGGGGTGTGTGTTGTCCGTTTCTGGGGTGTATCAAACCCAGAGACTTTGGCGCTTGCAAACAAAAAAACATGACCCCTCCATTAGACACCCCGCTGGTTGGGGGTCTGAAAACCAGGTTGTTTGAAGGCCCTGAATCGATCGGGAGCCTTTGGAAAGTCCAAAAATAGGTTAGTTTCCCTGTATCCTACCACTTGACTTGGATCGCGGTGAACAAAAACGCAGGGGCTGTTTGTTTGGGTTTCCAGTGACCCACCGATTTGGGGGTGGGTCGACATCGAACACAGGTGTACCGATTCTGTACTCGGGAATCCCTTGATTTCTGGGTTTGGAATGCAACTGTTGGAGATCAATTATCCACATCCCTTTGGAGCAACACATGCTAATTAGAATGAGGCCGTGGGTACTTTAAAGCCAGAGAGAGTTGTGATCATGACACAAATGGTATGTTTTAAGTCTTTTGTTTTATGATGTTTTCGCTCTTGGCTTCTTGGCTTTTAGCTTCTTGGCTTTGGCTTCTTGGCTTTTCGGCTTTTCGGCTTTTCGGCTTCTTGTTGGTTTGTGTGGCTTTTGGTGGCTTTTTTGGCTTTTGCTTTTCGCATCCTCTGCATTCCCAGTTCCTCTCTGGCAGGTGTTTTTTTGCTTTCGCACCCTTTCGTGTTTTTTGCTTTCCCGCATCCTCAGCATCATCAGTTCTTCTCCAGCAAGTTGGCAAGTGTTCTTTGTATTCATGTTTATGTGTGTATGCGTATATGTAAGTGATCTATGCAATCTATGCATGTATGTCTGTATGTATGCACTTCTTGGCACATCACGGGGTGGGGGGCTGCTCCCCCCCCCCCCGCCGCTGCTTTTGTATTCTTTGCAGAGACTAACGCACCCTTTCTTCCATCATTGCCATCGCTTATCAGAACATCTTGGGGGGGGGCTGCCGCCCTCCCACGCCCCCCGCTACTCGATTTTATTATTATTCTTGTTATTGTTGTTTTAAGAGATTGAAACCTATTTGAATCATTACTTTTTCGACCATCATGGGGCTAGCTGCCACCCCCCCCTCTCAAACCCCCCCGGTACTTGTTTATATTTGTTCCAGAGATTAAAATGCACACTCGAATTGAATCATCACTTTTTCGAACGTCATGGGGGGGGGGGCTGCCGCTTTTCCCAAAGGGTAAATGGAGACTCCTAGTGTTTTTGGGGGTTCGCTAGGACCCCTCCCCCCCCCTGAAGGATTCCATAAGTACTGAAACTGCACAGGGTTATTCGGGGTAAGACACACCCAGAAGACCACTTGGCCCAGTCACTTGGCCATGGCCCGTCTTGTCTCGGCGGAATTTATCACGTTGAACAGCAGTGCGAAAACGCTGCTGGAATCGCCTTGGGCCAACGGCAGCGCGAAATGGGGCGCGCCTTTGACCAGGAACTGTGCGAGGGCCAATTAGAGCCATTGGAATCCTTGTTCTTTGAAGGATATCGCTTTTGGATTTAAATCAAGAAATTTCCGTCACCAAATAGCTATTCCATTTTTGTTCTTGGAAATGCCGTGTTTCCAACCTAGCAATGCCTTGAACCTAAAATACGAGGGCCAAAGGACCCGAACAGACTTCGCAAAAAAAAAGGTCAGGTCGTTGAACCCTGGAGAATTCCCTTGGCTCTTTGGAATGTGTTGCAGTCAGCACTCGACTGGGAGGACGTGCGTCGAGTCACCAACTCCGGGCGGGAACAGGTGCTTATAAGACAACGCGTCCCAAGCAGCTGGGTGTCATTCTTGTAAGAAGTGAAGGAAAGGACCAAACCAAGTATCTTTGCTTTATTTGTTCTTTTCACTCTTTCGCATTTTCAAACTAATGATTCCTTTGGGAACCCCCCCCAATTCCCACCCTTTCTTGGATGGTTTTGGACCGTTTCAGGGTTGCTCTGTTGGGAAAGTGGACCCCCAACAAGACCTGGGTCAATGGTTAGGTCGCGCAAAGGAAACCCACCCCATTTGCTTCAGCGTATTTGTTATTTCCCCCCCGTTTCCCTGTGTTGGGTGTTGAAGGGCAGTCCAACGCCACGGGAATCTGTCAAATTTTTGCTCGGGGAACTGAAGCAAATGGAGGAACCATCAGATTGGTTGGTCAGGAACGGTACGTTGATCGCGGTACGGATTGATTGCCCGCCTCGGTATAGAACTGACTCAAGACGCTGGAGCGATCCTTCCTGCGGCTCCGGCTTGCAATGGCGACTTTCTCGAGGGCCTTTGCTTAAGATTCCACTTGTGTCTGTGTTTGTCTGAGGGTTTTTTGTATTAATTACACCCTGGGATTTCCTTCTTGGGAAATGACCCAGAATGGTTCGAAATGGCACGGCCAAAAAAGCGGAAATGTGCCGTGGAGCCCAGAGTCCAAGTACGTTAGGTACTTAGCCATCATGAGGTACCAATACGTGGGTGTATTCCCAGGGTGCAATGCAAGAACCAGAGCTCGACACCCAAAATGGTTGTGATTCCTCGTGAGCCGGGCCGCCTGTGCAATAAAGTTCCACCCAGGGCTGGGTGTTGCACGCATTGGCACCGGACAAAGAAAAGCCACCGGAGCAACGGTCAATACCCAAAAGCGAGCTAGTAAAATGCGGGATCTTTTACCCACCTTTACAGCCAAACATGTGGGGACTTATCAGAGTCCGTTTAAACTCCGATTAACTATACATCCTCGCGCTCCTTCATTTTAACACCTTTTTTACCCGATAGTTTGTCACACTTTGGGCTGGAGACTGATCAATATTTGCCGAGTTTGACGTACATTAGCGAAAGTATCTGTGTGCAGGCTGTTGTTTTGCGTGGACGGCCCGCAACTGGCTTGTCATGCGGATGACGATGCTGTTTGCCCTACCTGAACAATACCTCTGGATTGAAACCCTGGGCTTCATCTTAAATGTCTATTGAACTATTACAATTACAAGGATAGTCAGAGATAAGTACGTAAACAGATTTGGTAGATAGATGCATATTTTCCTTAGAGAGATGGAGAGAGACAAAGAGAGAGAGAGAGAGAGCGATATCGAGATAGCGAGATAACTAAATTGATATATGTATGCCTATATATGTATTGATATTGGGTGGAGGGATAGATGGATGGATGGATGGATGGATGGATGGATGGATGGATGGATGGATGGATGGATGGATGGATGGATGGATGGATGGATAGACGGATATATGGATGGTTGGATATGCAGATAGATGGAACAAGAGAAAGAGAAAGAGCAAGATGTTATCTCGCGACAGACAGGCATTCCGAAAGGGCGGAGAAAGAGAAAGAGTAGCATAAAGAGACTAATATTAGAAAGATAAAGAGACGAAGAGAAGCGGAAAGAGAACAGGAAAGAAAGACAAATAGAAAGAGAGAGAGAGAGAGAGACAGACAAAAAAAGAAAGGGACATATTACTATATTCATCATATTCTGAAATTTCCGCCAGCCGGCTTCGCCGGCTGTTGGTTAACATTCATATGTAGAGGTCTTCCGCCGACCCCTTTTTCACAGCTCATCCAACCCGTCCCGTTTCCCGGACATATCCGGACTGGCACAAAATCAGGGCTCGTCCAACCCATCCTGTGTCCTTGGCAAATCAGGGCAGGTTAAAACAGAAAAAGCAGCTCGTCCAACCCGTCTTGTTTTTCCACGCGATGGCTAAGAAATCACTGTTCGTTCAACCCGTCTTGTTTTCCAGGCAAACCAGGACGGTTAAAATCACAGCGCGTCCAACCCGTCCTGTTCCCGGACAAATCAGGACGGGCAAAATTGAGAACGAGGTCCAGCCCGTCCGGTTTCTCGGGCACGCAAAGTCGTCCAACTGGTCTTGTTTCCCGGCCATCAGGTAGAAGAGCACAGCTCGCACCAACCCAACCTGTTTCCCAGGCAAATCAGCACGCGCAAAAAGGAATACAGTGAGTGCTTTGCGGATAAATCAGGACAGGTAAAAAAATCGCCGCTAACCCGAAGAATCACAGCTTTCCACCCCGCGCCCCTCTGGAATCAGCTCGGGACAGGATGGGGTCGGCGGATTTGGTCTTGGGCTCCAGGTTGCTCGCCAAGTGTCATCTAGAACAAGTCTCAGCAATATTGACCGTGCTCTTCAGCTCCTAAAGCGGGAGCCGTCTCCTTAAGACAAGGAGGGCTCGCGGAACCGCTGGTTGAATCCGTTTTAGGACAACTCGTGTTTGCGTTTGCTTTTTGCGACATGCACTTTGAGAGCTGGCATGTCCGGATGCTTAGTTTGAACCTGGCTAAGAGTGAGCTTGGCACTCTGTGCCTCCAATTTAGACTGCTCCCCTTAGGGGACGGTCTGGGGAATTATTTTTATGCCGATGAACGCTTGGGCGCGGTGCTCCCGCAACCAGAGAAGCCATTGGGATTTGACAAGGAAATCGTTTCGAGAATCAAGCACGTTACGCCCTCATGTTTGTGAGCCGGACGAAAATATCTGCTTTTACAGGCGCTCTTTGCTTTGGAGGGAGCAAGCATACCCCGACCCAAGAAAGATTTGCATCGCGGAGCCAGAGAAAGGGTGCAGAACTCTAGGGCCTGCGGCCTGCAGTGGGCCCTGGGTCAAATGCAGAAGCTGTGAAGCTTCAAGTCCCGAATGGGAAATCTGTGGAGCTCCAGCTCCCCGAATTTAGGCTCGATCCCTGGGTTTGCGAATTGCCCGATGGGCCAGTAAGAAGCTCGACGTGCTGCCCGGCGGAAAAATGGCCCGCACAAAATTCCGCGAATCGCGACCCTTGCAGGCTTGGACTCGCGTGCGGCAATCCGTCCTGGGACCCCAATCAACACACCACGGGATGAACATAGTTTTCGTAACATGTCGCCTGAACCTGCCACGTGTTGTGGTTTTCGTCGCCCATCCTTCAGATTTTCGACGGCAATTGCAAGTCCTAATTTGAGAGTTTGTAGAATGATCCCTAGAATGTGTAAACCTACCAATTTGTTTGAAGATCTTGCGGCCGTGGCACAGAGCCTTTCAATTCCATGAGTGTAAGCACCCTCAGGGTCCTGATGGATTTGGGGTCCTCCAAATATGTCCTTTTGACACCTAAAGCAACTCAGGGTGTGGCACGGGGATCCCTGGGTTAGCCTTAGGGCACTATATCAACTTGTCAGCGAACCAGTGACAGGACATGTTCGATCGGGTAAAACTGCTATTTATTCTTTTGGTTTGTTGGGCGGCGTCAAAGGACAGCGTATAGCACGACTCCAAATGCGCCCTGATTTAGCCTAGATTTGCAAGCAACAATTCTGTCCAGAGTACATACCTCCTTTTTCAAGGGGTTGACATCACAATTCCTAAAACAGGGGGTATTGATGGAGCGGGGGGGGCAGGGGTAGGCCTCGCATACCTCTATCCTCAGGGCATACTTTGTAAATCAGTACTGCCTTATAAACATCCCTGCCGTGTACATGCTCCAACGTGGAGTGCATCAGCAGAAATTCAGAAAGGCTCCTTGGATTTACTGGGAGTCCAATTCTTATTACAGGAATCTTGCAACTACCTGGAGTCTCCATGACCCTTAAAAAAATGAAATAAAAAGGCATGGCCCCTTATTTTCCGCATGTTTCAAGAGTTATGGAGAGTCCAGGCGCCGAATTTCCCGCTTCTCTGGCGTCAACGGGAGCACGTCCCCTCCACTCCCGCGCTTTGGCTCTTGGCTCTTCGCCGGATGGTGGATGAAGCTTGGCCGGGGCCCCGAGGTTCAGTCGAGAACATCAAAAGTGGGTGGACATACCCTAAACCCAAACCCTAAACCCGAAACGTCTCAGCTCGTGCTACTAAAAAGAAGAAACGCTCGGGCAGCAATCACACGGTAGAGCTATTTCAGAAGCAACTACCGCGTTTCTGTGACTTATTATTATTATTATTATTATTATTATTATTATTATTATTATTATTGTTTTTGGTTTAAACAAAAACATGCGGTTGGTCAGCTGATGAGGCACCCCTCAAGCAAGTCGTGGGTCGTGGACCCCGGGTTCTGCAAACCAAGCCCCATCGGAGCCTTAGGGTAAGAAGAAGAAAAAAAACATGGTTCTTTCGGGCGTTCAGAACTGCCATTTGCTTAAGAATATGTTTTTTTGTTTTTCCCCTGTTGGTTCTAAAGGGAATCTATCACTACTGGAGAAATATGTTAAAATTTCCGGAGTAAACATCATACCCCAAGACCTGGTCCTCCAAAACCGCGTCTCAGCGTGTTAAGTGCATGTGGTTTTTCGCATCTGGACTGGCACAGAAATGCTAAAGCAGTTCTTGGCCACAAGTGAGACTTGGCATTGGTTATAATTTACAGCTCGGTTCTGAGTGCGTCACACTTATGTGGGTACACGCAGGAGGGCCGGAAGTTTCGAGGTTTCATGGACTCCCAATCGCATGAATCGGCAGACCATTGGGTGCTGAGGCGTTTTTCGCCCCAATACGCATATTAGCTCAGGTGTCCCCTAATTGGTTTTTTTGAATTGGTGGTTTGGGATTTGAGCCCCCGTTTTTTGTCGAGGGCAAATGGGAACCCTTCCTTAACCACCAAACCACCAAACCACCAATCCAAACCACTAAGCAAGGAGGGAAGCTGCTAGGGGTGCCAAAGTGACGTCTTGCAATTGACAAGATCCACAAGAGGTATGAATTCGGCTCTGAAATTTGATCAGGGTCTACCCCTCCCCAACCGCGAGCTTTGGTGGACGTTCCGCACGTAAATGATTCGTCCACCAACAGACCAGCCCCGAGACCACTGCTTTTTGGACTTGGGATTTTGGACAGAAAAGCCGTTGTTGGGGGCTTGGGGGGGGGTGCTGGCAGTTGTCGAGGCAAGTAAACCGCTCACTGGAGGCCTTCATGGCAGCCAGATCACAAGCTTTTGCACCGGTTGATTTTTCAGTTGGAAACGGTACTTGCTAGTGCTCAGTACAGGGGAATGAACCCAGGCTTTGGTCCCCTGAAAGGAAACCAGCAGTGGGATGGTTCATAGGGGTCATTCCCTCAGTCCCTTTTGGTGCACCAAGAACAAGCCTCGATGTCTCACTTGCAACCAAAGGGGAACTCATTGCCTTCCGGCCTTCGAGCCTCAACTTGGTCACTTTTTCGTGGCACAAGGTTCTTTCTCGCGCTTGGGCGAGTGAGAAGAGCCTCACGTGATGCGCACGTAACATACGTGCGCAAACAGACGTGCGCAGAGTTGGGCGATGTTTGTAGTTGAAAATGGGAGATGCCCTGGTTCACTGCCGTTGACCGGTGTTTGCCAAGTGTACGGCCCAAAGTTGCAAAGGCCTCCGGTACCAGGAGCAATCTTAAAAGAATCGGAAGGGTAGAGACGGTTTCCAACCGAAAAATAAGCGGGTTTCCAACCGAAAGGTGCTTATCACAAGCTTTCACAAAGATGCGGCGAGACTCCCCCGTTGGATTCTTTGGGGTTGGCCCACTTTACAAGGCGTTTGCCAGTCCTTTTATCGTGTAGCACGATATGTGGATTCCTTTTCAGGTGCCCGGTGAATTGGCGGTTTGGACGGGTTTGGACTTTTTGAGTCCTTGTTGTAGATAAGTGGGTTTGGATTGGTTTGGATTCAAAGTTGAATCCGTTCTTGTAATTCGCCACCAAACCCCTGGGCTCCAAACCATCATGGAGATCCACCTCGATTTTTCGGCAGGGGGCCATGGCGGCTTTGGCAACTCGGACGCTGATCTGTTGCTTCAGGTCCGAAGCGCCGAAGGTTCGCTGCACTCGCTTCCTGAGTTCATTTTTTGTTTTTTAACTTTTTGGGCTTGGACCGTTTTAGTGATCAGTACCAAGGTCGGACCTGTTTTTGGGGGCCATCCACTCAGCAAGTTAGTGCAGAAAGCGCGTTGAAGGGGGGGGAGTTCTCCACATGGGCCAAGATTTGTGGGATGATTCGAAAGGGAAGTCAGAATAAAGATGAAACGAAACAGAGCTTTAGGGATCCGTTTTGAGAGCCGACCATGTTTCTTCGAAGCTGGGTCGCGATTCTGCTCAAAAAGTCCTCCCAGTACTGTGATGCCGTTTCCCTGCTTTAGAATCGCCTACTCCAAAGAAATATGTTCTTTTCTTTTGTTTTTTTCTTCTGGGGGGGGGACAGGAGAGTATCATGTTAATCCTGACTACAAGCGGAGATACAACAAAAGCATGGAACACATACCCCGTGCATTTGGAGTAGGAGGTAAGGTTTTAGCTGGGCTGTTCAAAGACAATCCGCAAGATCAGTCCTTGGGTTATGCAAGGATTTGGTGCGCTTTGTAGAAAACTAGAAGTTGATAATTGCGCCGCGTTACCTATCGTGGTGGCTTGCCTGGGATCCACCGAGTGTGACACCGTCGAAAGCATCCACCATCAATATATTTGCACGTGTCGGCGTTCACAACATGTGTTTGTGTTTCCAGTGTCAACTTAACTTACACCGTTGGTTTCGATTCGTCCTCCGACTGTGGACGATTTGAACCCCGACATTTTGCAGTCCCTTTTAGTTGGTGACTATTGGGAGACATGTGCAGAAGCAGGCATCTAGCGGTTTCTTGCCAGATGTGTGTGTCTCGTCAGTCGGCAGAAATACGGTCAGGTGAAAGTAGATGGCACGAATTTATCTTGGGTTTAGTCATCCGCTTGTTTAGTTGCCCAAACAAGGGATTGTTATGATCAAGTGGCTTTCATCCTGGATGTCATTTTCAGCCTTTCATCGATGTCAAAACTGCAAACCTCATGGAAGACACAGAAAGGCAATGGCCGCTTCCTGGCATCCTTGCCCTTGGCTAAAAAATGATGGCGAAAAAGATGCAAGTTTTAGGTGCAGCAATGGTCAAAACATCCTTTTACCATTTGTACCAGTCAACGGCGTGCTCTTCAAGGTGAAGACGTTGCACGAACGCCAGGGAACCTTGACCACTATTGCATGAAAACGAGCAATTGGCGTTTTGGGCTTCTTATGGCCCCATTAGGCAAGGGCTTTCAATGCACCAGACACAGCCCGAGGCTTTTTCAGGGCTTCCCTGACGCCGGCAACATGCCAGGCGGGTGGTTCGTCTGGGCTGTGATTCCTGTGTAGGGAAGGTGAATGAGCTGATAAGTCTTGGTGGCTCCCAGCCATCCCCTTAGCTTTTTAGCCTTTTAGTGTTTAGTGGTAGTTTCCATTTAACCCACTGAAAGTTAAACTTTTAGCAGGGGATCTGAGGGCAGCCCAGAAGTTGTGTCCTTCTCCACCCAACTCTTTGTTTGTTTCTGTTGTTTTTGCCTTGGGTGCTTCCCGTCGGAGGCTTCCAGCACTCAAGTGGGGCAAAAAGGGCATGGGGCAGCCAAGCTTCTGGATGTACAGACGCGAAAGCCAACTTTTGATGGGCTGGGAACAAAGCGATAGCTTGCGTGCGATAGCTTTAGTTCATTGGACCCTGTGCAGGTCATAGCTAACGCCTCATAGTAGTTAGCAATGCCTATATAGCGCATTGCCATGAAATCAATTGTTGTTTGTTTGAGGATACCCTTGCAGGTTGGTTTTAAGGACGCCGGAAGGAAAACCGGGGGTCCACCCAGCGCATCAGCCAAAGGCAACAGATACTTTTGGGGTGAAACAAGGCAAGGTTTCAAAAGGTTCACCAAGGGGAGCATGGAACTACAAGGTTGAATTTGACAAGCTGGTACAGCCACTGCAAGGGTTCCTTTCTGGGAATCGCCCACAGGAGTTTTGATCAGGGCCCATGCACTGGATGCTTACTCACATGTGCATGTGTGCGGTAGACGCAGGTTGCCAACGTGCAGTGGCTGTGATGTGTCTCGTGGCAGAAGAGTATGGGCCAAAATCAGAATTCGCGTCCAAAATCCTTTGGATTTTGGACCGGCGTGTCGAAAAAGACTTCTGTGCCGAGGTCAAAGGACCCGATTGCTTAGCCAAGAAGTTTGGAGTTTCAAGACACAGTGCCAAGACCCATTTGAGTGGTACAACTTGGGGTTCCCAGACCTCCCCCTGACGCAAGGGGCAGTGCTCACTGTGCGCACCCCCAAGTGCGTTTTTTTTTGGTGTGTTTCTCGAGCTTTGAGTTGGCTTGGTTCTAGTTTCCATTTTGGCAGTTCGTTCTTTTGGTTTTTGCCCGTCCAGGGAAGTGAGGGAAGCTTCGGGGCTTGGTTCGGACCGCAGGCAAAGGCTTCTCCCAGAGCTCGGACAGTCGAACCACTGAGAAGCCAGGGCCCCTGATCCCACTGGCCCTGGGCTTGCCCGACCCGAGATCGTCTTCCCTCAAATTTCCGCGAAAAAGTTCCAATAAATCTTGGAACATTTCGCCAGTTTTGACCGAAGGAAGTCATAAGTTTGAAATCTAAGTCTGGCCCTGGCTGAAAAGAATGGACGGACCCTGTGCCGCGAAGCTTGCCGCTTTTTATGTTCTCCTTCGTCTTCCCTTTCAGCCGGGTTTTTCTGGGTGTGTCCTTTCCGAACAAATTTGGAGCCTCCAAGCGGACCCTTTTTGAGGTCCAAAACAGCATGGAGATCCCTTCCATGGAGGCTCCTTTCTGATGCGGGTTTCGGTGTTCCTTTGGGTTCCCTTACCAGCAACCATGTGAACGTGTCAGACCCATGATGGTGGTTGTCCTTTTATTTTCCTCAAAACCAGCCAAAAAGGGGGTTCATGTGAGACGAAAACAAAAAACAAGAAAAACAGCCCATGTGAAACACAAGTGAATGGACGTTTTGGGGTCGCAAGGGACCTGACTGCCATTGTCTCACGTCCTAAGTTCGTGGCTCCGCGACATGCACACGAAGAGAGTGGTTTTGGAGGAACACACCTTTGGGCAAACCTACCCAAAAGTACCCTGACCGCAAAGAAAACTTCACCCAAGAGAATGTCCCCCAAACATGGAAACCCTTTTGCCTGGAAGAAAGTAGCGGGCCCCTGACAATCAGTACATGCCTCACAGCCTCGCTGCATGCAGAAAATCCTTCGCGATCCCACAAAATGCTCCACCTCCTCAACCACATCTGCTTTTGCACTTGGCATCGCGACATGTGTGTGACCTGGGCTCGGAACTAGCGACGAGTACTCTTCAACCCTGACTCACAACACACCGTCCCTAGCAGCTTGATTTCACGGGTAAGCAAGTTATACAGCACACATCATGGCGCGCCAAACAACACAAGCTTCTTGGGTTCCCACAATCGGTCCACAATCTTTCAAGGTAGATCCATGTTCTAGTCCATGTAACTGGAATGCCATCTTCGGTTCCATGTCAGTGTTCAGGGCCGAAGGACAAGGCAAAGACATGGTTGTCGTTGGGAAGCATTTCACATTTTTGCTTATGGTTTAGTGGTTGAAATCCAACCACTTGACTGCTAAAATGTTCATTTTTTTGCTCCCCTTCCAACGAAGACCTCTTGACATCGGATCCAGCAATCGGGAGATCGGATCGCCTCTCGAGGCATGTCTTCAAGCCGCCGGAGAGCGGCGGCACGCGGCGCCGCCACGCTTGAAGGCGCCAGGTGCCAGAAGAGGTCCTTCTCGCAAGTTGGCATGGAACCCTTGAGGGGTACTGTTGACCCCGGATTAATAAACCCCTGGTTGATTGATAGGGGGGTGTCCCCTTTTAGTGGGGATTCAGACCACTTTTGGAGGGAACACCCTCCTAATAATGGGACGGGTTTATTAATCCTGGGTCAACATTACGGAAAAACTGGGCTCCCTTTGGAACCCTGCTTGGAGGGACTGTTTTTTTTGGGGGGGGGGCATGGCCGTGGCCCTAGGAAAAATCGGAGTCTTGTTGGGAGGGTGTTGCAAGGGAAGCCCACGAATGAAAACCAGAAATCCACTCTGAGGGGGCCCTTTATGGAACGCCCATACCCATATATCAATAGGATGATACGTCGATGCATTCTGTCTGTTGGCAAGTGAGTCGCAAAGCAGCTCCAACCATTCTAACTTCATTGGGGCTATCGGACATCCTCCAACATGTCACAAATCCCAACTCATACCCAAATGGACCAGATATGTTTCCCTTCGGTTAGAACATCCATATGCACTTGGGGCGTCCAGGATAGGACAAGCACCTTGCAACTGGCCAGCTCACAGGTTTCGCAGATGATGTCCAGCACCTTTCAGCTACCACCCAGGAACAAATGGGCTAGAATCGCCCTTCCAATAGCTTCTTGTTTGCGCGGACTTTTCCGCACAGCAAGACGCTCAGGCTTGTTTAGCGGGGTCTGGTTGAATGGCTGCTCAAGACTTCCCCCTTTGGGGGCCTAGGAAGGCCTCGTTCGCGTGTTTTTGTTCCTCGTGGGAGTCAGTGAAGTGAAATGGACGAGTGGAATTTTGGGTTCAAGGGCGGTCGGAATCCGCAAGCTGGTCGAAAACAAGGATGTCAGGTAGAGCAAGGACAATTAATTCATGTTAGTTCTGGAAAAACAAGCCCCTGCTTGATTCATAAACCCCCGTGAATTGAGGCGCCCCAGCGATGTGGACCCTTACTTTTGATTGTGCATGCGCTAAAGATGAGTTGGGCAAGATCGGCAAGAGAGAGGGACCCATGGGTCCTGTGAAGAGCCACAGGGCATTTTGTTCAACGAGGGTCATTCCGTTTCTCATTTTTTGCCTATCACACCAGCAAGTACTGTAACCCATAAGCTGAAAAAGGCGCTTTTCCATCGCCAGCGCCAGGGTGTCCGAGTCCAGAGCCGAGCGATGGCAGAGACTTGCCAAAAGGTAGCCCCGTGCATACGTCGCTGAAACGCTGAAATGGGCAGTGCTCGCGGGGCTCACGTTTGATTTTTCTGGGTGGTTTTTAGTTATTGTTGTGCGATTTGATTATGTTTTAGTCAACTTTAAACTCATGTTCCCAAATGTTTTATTTATTCTGAATTTGTTCAGTGGTTGGGTGTCCATTTAACCCACAAGTTACACTCTGCGAGGGAATATGAGGACAGCCCAGTGAGTAGTTAAAGGGCTCAACCCTCCCCCCCGCCATGGGTCGAGAAGGTTTCTACTCAAGAAAGGTCTGAAAACGGGGCGCCGTTTGATTAGTTAGTTGCAAGCCCCATATAATATTGGAAAATGCCAGATCTTGCATTTGATCTTTAAACGTGCCTTGTGGACAGCTTCCCAGCAGCGAAATGGGGAACCCGATGCATCCAGACACCAGGGAGAACCTGCCTTTCAGGTGACCCTTTTTGGGCAGCGAAGCTTGGACATGCAAAGAGAAGTAGACCCGAAATCTGTGATTCCATTTGGCCGCGGCTTAGCAAGATTGTGCCACATGGCAGCTTGGCAAATGTAACCAACAACTAAACCCTGCATAACGCTAGCTTTTTTTTGTGCCACACAGACAGAAATCTGTGATGTCAAATTGTGCATCACTTTGCTTTGAGCCAATGCCAGATGCAAGGAGGACCTGATCTTGCACGCCTCTCCGTAAAGTGGTGGAGCAGCGAATGTTGCTTTGCGCGGTAGCGCTTGCGGAATCACAACACCGGCACCAGGGTTTACCCATTTGGTAGCAACTATATGTATGGTTATAGCAAGCTTGGAGGACAGACTTACAGCCAGGGTTATTAACTATGGACTATGGCTTCTAACCGCTTCCTAAGTTAAGTACTGTGCTTTGTCAAAGGGGCAGGTACTTAGAAAGCGGATATACTGATATACCCGCCAACCATGTTTGTGGTAAGTCAACAAGCACTTAGGTTCGCCAGGAATATTCCGCAGGAAAGCGAGTGATTGCTAATAAAAGAACACATCCGGAGCTTCTTGGCATACCCAAAGGCTGTTGATATGCAGGCCGGGGGCCCGGGGTCTCTGCAATTTAGCACACCTCGATGAAAAGGTGTGTCAAAAGCAGCTTTTTGAGTTGCCCCCAAAGTTTTATCGATCGGACCCTTGTACTTCGCACTGCTATTGTCTCACGCTACGGGGGAAAACAACTTTGCAGCGCGATGTGTGTGTTTTCTTCCCAAACAAAAAATCCAGGTCTTTGGTTTTCCAAACAGACAATGCAGGGCGTTGTTTTTCCAAACAAACCAATGCGGGGCGACGTGTTTTCGTTTCTTCTTCTTTCTTTTTCCGAACAAAACACTATGCAAAGCGATGGCTTGTGTTTTTCACCCAGCAGCGAGGAATGCCAGCGCCAAGCCGAAGGCGGAGCCAAAGAAGGCGAAGGCCAAGCCTAAGGCAGGGATCCGAAAAAAAATGCCCACACCGCCCTGTCATGTGCTGAAGAATACTGTTTATGTTTCTCGCTTTAGCAAAAGGAACCATATGTATTGTTGGCTTTTTGAAGGGAGTCTGGTGGACATTGCTTCATAACTCATTTTGGGAAAATACATCCCTTGTTGGCGTGTTGGAGGGAGTCTATCACCAGTGCACATACTTTACTTGTTTCCCCAGAAAGCTTAAAGCAAATGGAAACACCCCAAGGGCTGCTTGCTTGGAGCTGCCTGTTTTTCAGGGATCGATGCGCAGGATTTGGTTGTGCTTTGGTTGCCCAAGCGAGCAAATGGATGGAGCTCCAGTCTACTTTCGGGGGAGTCGTGACTCGTCTGACTAAGCAGCAAAAGTGAAGCCATTGCACGGGGGGAATGAGACATCAGGTTTACTGAGATCTCATTTGATAGACTTGCATTTCCTAATCCACTGAGGAAGTCAGTCTCCCGAGTGTCGATATTAGGATATATGTTAGGGACTTAGCTATTGTTTTGCTCTTTTGCCTTTTGGGTGTCTTCATGTTTTTCTTCAACTACAAGAACGGACCGTTTGCAAGGCGTCTAGGCTGGCCAGCAAATACGGAGCATCATGTGCACATAGTTGTTTGGTGTAGCACATGTTTGCTGGAATCTCTGCTCATGTCATTTTACGTCTGAGAGGTATGCTTTGTGGGCCCCTTTTGAGATACACCATGTCAACGCTAGATGGGCAACAGCTGGAGTGATTCTTCCCTTTTTGAGCACGGCCATTGATAACATGTGGCTGAGGGTCAAAACCAGTGGTACCATTTTGGGGTACGTGCACCCATGTTAGAACCTATTTTAGTGGGATTGGGATGTTCACCGGGGGTACTGGATTTTGACCCATGGCCATGTGGGAAAGGGTATTGCGCAGGGCACCCTTGTAGCCGGGCGGGTGGGAGAGAAGGACTTTGTTTACTTCTGGAACTGTCTTTTCAGTGAAGAATTCGTCCCTCAGAATTTCCAGCCGTATCAGTAGTGGAAAAAACAGCAGCTCCCAGAACGTTGTTCATAATGTTTCAACTGGAAGAGTCTCCGGCTGCTTGTTCAGGGTCCCAAAACGATGCTTCTGAATCCATGCGTGCCTTAGAGTAGAGATTGGAGCTCTGAGTCGGTGTTTCGGCTTTCCCCCCCCATCCGCGAAGCTGGAACCTGAGGGGGGGGGGGACATTTGGAAAAAAAAGGCCACCCTGCCACAAGCCAGCAAAGCTCTAGGGGACCAAATAGGAAGCTGCGCGAAACGAAGCCTCTTTCATGCCACAGAAGCATGCTCCAGGGTGCCAAGGGTCCCTGCTTGAGGATAAGGATTATCCACCTTGAAGAAACCTGCGGTCTCCTCCGTTGTTTCCCACCCGACTTTGGGGTTGTTAGATGTTAAGTGACGAATCCGACTGCCAACCGCCCGGCTAAGAGACACAGCTTGAAGAGCCCATAGAGTGTTGAACGGAACGGCCCGTAGCAGCTTGATGTGAAACCTGAAACAGAATACAAGCTATGAAGTCTGATGTTTGCTTGATTTTCTATCAATGTAGGTACAGTTGCATGTTTTTTGGTTGAGCGGAACAGACCCCTATTATTTGAGGTCTTGTGGCGTGTGGATCCAGGGCCCAGTTCAACAGTTGGTCATCGCCACTTGGCAATGGGAAATCCAAATCGGTTATCCTCCAGTGAACATCAACCAATCCAACCACTAAAATAGGTTCGAAAATGGGTGGTGCATTCACCTACCCCAAATTGGTACCATTGGTTTTGACCCAGAGCCACTTGTGAGGCGAAATCCAGATCTCGGAGCCCGAGTCCAAAGAGATCCGCCAGTCCCAGCAGAGGCCGAGTTGAGTTGGAGAGAGCTGCGCCAAAACGCACGCGGGTGGGTTGGGATTGAGAAAACTGTGTTGCTTGCTCTCAAATGGCTGTGGGTCAAAAATATGCACCCCAAATGGAACCCTGGTAAGTGGAAGTATGAACCAAAACCTGGTCCCCTGGAATTTACTTTTGACCCATACCCAAACTTGTATCTTAGGGCGCCAGGCGGTTGGTCTCCAATGGGTGCTGAGAGACAATAAAGTTATGGTCTCCGTTTTGTTCCAGTCTCTGCGGAACCACAAGCCCACTTTACAGTCGACTGCTTGGACTCCCCTGATTGAACACGGGGTTTGGAGGTCGACTTTCCTTCGCCCATGCCCATCCAACCCCCAGGGCTGTGCTTTGAGGATGGCGGGTGGCGCAAGGGTCGTAGCTCAGCAGGTTTGGAGGAACAGGTTAGGAGAGTTCCAGGGTTGTGGAATCACTCGGGGCTTATCCAACCACTGTGATACTTGTGGGAGTCTCCCATAGCCTATGGGGTGTTAGTCTCCAGGGGAAGCCCTTTTTGTTGTATCACAGAAGTGGATTCCATTTCCCACAACCCTGGAGAGTTCCAAGTACCAGCAAGGACTGCCCCTTTTGCCACCGAGCTGAGCACAAAACCGGTGGTTGGGATGTTTTGCAAGTCTGTGCCATTCAAGATGTTGTAATCATGAACCAGAATCAATCAACACATGTTTGGTTGGGCAACACCTGAGGTATCGTGTGTATGTTGAGCTTCAACGATATAGACAAGTTTGCAATAGCGAATATGAGGGCTCAAATGACCCAAAGACCACAATTCGTAAGGTCCTGGGTCCCTAGGGCAAGGCAACTTTGTCAAAATCGAGGGTACCAACACCTATAAACAAGAGAACCTTTTGGTCGGAGGCATTTTGTCTGGATTTGTGGACATGCAGCCAAAGGGTCCCGGATACAAAACAATGCAACACATGCCCAAACGGTTTCTCCTTTCCATAAAAGGAAGCCTGTTGATACAATAGTTTTTGCGGAATGGGGGGGGCAAGCAGAGCATAGGAAAATATGCTCTTGGTGGGGTGACGTTCAAAGGAGACATATAGGGAGCCCTGGAATCGGTGCAGTGTTTGAATGGAAATATAATGATCCCTCCATTATGTCCGATCTGGACGAGACCGAAGGTGTCCAAACCCGTTTAAGCTTTCTACGTCTAGGTTCATGGGTCCACCCCCCCCGCCCCCCAAAACCGCCTGATGCCTTAAAACGATGCCAACATCTAAACAGGGACACCAAGGGCCTCAAACGGACTACTGTTTGAGAGGGGCACCTTCCCCAAGAGTTACTCGATTGAGCCCTTCGACCTATGTTGCAATGGCTGGTTGAATCGTCACCTTCCGTGGCAAGGCTTTGTACCAACAATTTCCCTTACGTGGCAGGGGATTTGACCCGCTCAGAAAACGGGGGCATCGGCTCGGGCATCGCTTTCTGGGCAACTGGCAACAGAGAAGGGTTTTTTGTTTGCATTCCCTGTATCCACAAAGGACCCCGAGTCTACTATCAGGTTGGCAACCGATTCGATTTTGCATTCTTTTTGGCTCATGTTGTCGCGCGCAGGTCCCAAGGGGCAGGCAGCGAGGAGTGGGTCACCACTGCAGGAGTGTTCCGGTCGGGTCAAGATTGGGGACTCTGGTGGAGAATGAGGACACTATGAAAACAGCCCTTTGGTTTCCAAGGATCCCGACTTGTTGACTTTCACTGGACATTTCTGAATGAGAACCAGGACTCAAGTGGCGGCTTGGCTCACTTAGGATGCCTTTTGGCCTGCGCCAAACAGGTCTTGGAACGCAAGGGATTTGCAAGATCCTTTGGCCTTTCTTGGGCCACGCCACGCGGCATGCAATGCCACACCCGGATATGAAGCCTCCACACAAATCTATAATTCGAAGATCGAAACAATCGCAGCTGAGTAGAGCATGTTTGGCTGGCGGGGCACAAGTTCCTGATGCGCTAATTCCTTTGTTCCGCGCACAGGGCAAGTGGGCGACGCTTAGCACGTAGAACCAAGCAGTAGAGCCACCATGTAACTAGCAGCACCAAGTAAAACCCGACTTTCCGTAGCACCGCCAAGTCGCAGAAAGACTTCAGACAGCGTCAGGAGCCGGCGCCGCCGGCGCCGCGAAAGCCCATGGCCAAGGAGAAGTTGGACCTGAAGAAGGCCGGCGCATCGAAGCCCGTCGCGCAGCGCCACGGGCGCTCTTCGGCTTTTCGGCTTGCTTTCCTGTGCCCAGTTGAGTGGCTTGCTTCCTTTCTCACTTCCTGAGTTGCTGGACTTTAAACTTTTTGGGTTTGGACCATGTTAGTGGTAAATAAAAAGTTCAGCCCTTTTTTGGCCAGTCAACTTGGGAAGTGAGCTTTTCTTCAACTTGTTTTGCGGGAAGGGAGGGTTCCCTTGAAACTCAAGCAAACGAAAAAAATAGATGCCCTTTTTTTTTCTGGCCGCTGAGCATTTGAGTATGGGGATTAGATTTTTGTGTGGGGATTTGGCAGGTGGACATCCAATGTTAGGTGGGGAGTGGTGTTCAAAGTTCGTTCTTGAATTCATAGACAAATCAACAGAACAGAGGTCCATCATTATGAGAAACTCTTAACCAATGCTTGGATGATTGTCCTTTGGTGCAAGCGAGCGCAATTGATTTAGCACTGTGCTGGGCAAATCACTCCCTGAGCATCGATCCAGGGATTAAATCTGTCGAAGGCTTGCCCATGACTGTCCCTGAATTACTGAAAGATTGCTTATTTCCAATTTACAAATCTTGGCTGGGATATCCAACAGAGACTCGAACAGCCGAAACCCTTCTCACCAGTGCCTGGCCAAAACGAGTGAACCCAAACAAACCAGGTTGCACATTGTTTGAATCGTTTTGCCAAGTTTTTTTTTTTTCAGTTGGTGATTTGCATCTTTTCCGCACCAACGATTTCCGCCATCACACTATATCTAGGTTTTCAAGCGTGCGTTCTGGGTCAAGGTTTGGGAGCAGCTTGCATCTTTGCCCGATGAACATTCAACAAAAGCATGGGTCTCCAGCTTTGGAGCTTTTTATTTGCCCCCCAAAGCGAATCGACGAGATCAATCGAGCTGGTTTCCTCTTATGGCCCCAAAGGTCCCGTTTTGTCCAGGTACGAACTGCGCAGCTGGGTATGAGTCAAAACTGAACGCACCTATTTGCGACCCACAGCCAACTGAGACTCTTTCTTGGGTCAACCTCCCACCTCAATCGCTCCACCTGGCAGGTCTTTCCGCCCTCGGAGATGGTGGCTCAGTTGGAGGACGTGTAACGCGTTCGAAGGTAACTGAAAGGATGCCAAATGGCAGTGGCTCAAAATTAAAGAGCTAGGGTTACGCAGGTGTTGGTCCATGTTTCCACTTACCAGGGCAACCCATTTTGGAATTCCATTTTTGTTACCCACAGCCAAAGAAGTCAGTCAACACATCACAAGACCACGGAATTTGGGAAATGATCCAACGAGAACTTCTACCGGACGTGCAGCAAGACCAGTTTGGCGTTTGGGATGGCGTGAGGTTGCAATTTCAATTGCAACCTCATGAAGCTTCCTTTCGGGCTCATTTGTCATGGGTTGGCGAATAGAAAGCATCGCCCGGAGTGACACTCATTTCTTGAAGCAGGCCGGCCAAAAGAGAGGTGTGCCCTTGAGATATGCCTTTAGAGTTACTTAAAACGCAACATGACTTGGCCCATAATCATCTACTTGAACCTATACCCCTTCAAGGCTCCCTGAAGGTAACCAAGGGGACCGCCCTTTGCAAACCGAAAGGACAATTGCTGCTTAGCCATCGTAGTCTTGGTGCTTCCCAGCCGTCCTCCTAGGTTTTCAGGTTTTTGGGGTTTAGTGGTAGTTTCCATTTTATCCACTACGGCCCAGTAGTGCTTGGGATCCACAAAGATGATCCGTTGAAGTACAGCAAGTTCAGCCTGCAAAATGTTAAGACTGCATTGTAGCCATCACGGAGTTGGCGGAGGAGATCTGTAGCAGGCCCAGGAGCCTTGTGGTGTGCTTCCAGCCTGATATCCCTTACCATTGAGTTAACAGGTTGAGCTCTTTTTGACGCAGACGCATCTGAGCAAATTGCAACAACCTCACAAACCGGGGTAGTAACATTATGGGGGTTCACTTGTTGTTTGATCCGGGGGCGTGACACTACCCACGCTTGTCAGGTGCCTTTTATGGGGGGTGACTTCTTGTTGATCGGTGAGTCCTTGCAGTAGACCTAGACTCATGCAAGTCACAAACAATTCCCTGCGGAGTTGGTTTGAAGCAAAACCAAATGGGGGCCAATTGGTTTAACAAAATAGGAGGCATGTCGCAAAAAATGGGGGAGCCACACAAGGTTTTTTGTTTTTCTCGTATTAAAGCCATTCCAAATGGGATTTCCAGCCTGTGAGACATATCCATGTCATGTTAAAAGACCTGCTTACTTTGATGGACCCCCTCATGCGGACTTTGGACAGTTGCAAGGATTCGCAGAGGAACCTGGACCATGGCGCACCAAGACTTGCTTTTACCATCGCCCTGGTACTTTTAACTTCGCATCACTTGGAAATGCCTCACCCCCCTAAAATCGACCGAATCAATCGACCTTGTTGTTTCCCCCTTTGTGGGTTCCAGATCAATTTCAGGGGTCTGAGCTGGGCGACTGACTCACTTGCCCGGACCTGGCAATGAACGGTTGATCACCTGGGACCACGCAAAAATATCCGCCAAAATAGCAGAACCGAATGGTCAATTGCATTTCCCTTTGGGGATTTTGACATTTCGCCAGTTTGACCCGAGACAGGAGAGGTGGTACACCCACGACCCGCTCTTGCCACTACCCGGGAGGCGCCGAGTTGGTTTAAAAAAGGCCCTTTGATTTTGTAGCTTTTGTTTCTTCTTTTTTATGCCGGTCATGGCATCAAGTTGGCTCTTTGGTGTTGTTGTTTGCATTGGCTTGTTCGGAGTTTCTTGTTGTTGCTGTTTTCTTGTTTGTTGCTTTTGTTGCTTGTCGCGGTATGTGTTGTGTGTCTTTGCAAGGGCAACCCACGAAGATTGGGGGGTTTCCAGCAACGCGCTGTTTCTTCGATGCACTTGGCCTGCGCCTGTTTGGATGCCGTTTGGATGTGTTCGGGTTTTTTGAGGGGGCTGTTCGGAACCAAGGGCCAAAGATTGAAAAGGACTCTCTGGAGGTTGCAGGGTTCGAAAAGAGCAAGGCCATGCTCCTTGTGTCTACGAGTGATGGATTCAGTTTCTGACTTTTCATGGGGTTGGTTTGCGTTTCTGAAAGGCCGACTTTGGTCACAACCATGCCGACGGAATTGAACTTTTTCGCTTTCAATGATCCGATCTCGGATACCCTGCCACCAATTAACAAGGCACCTGACAGGGGGAGGGGGGGTCCTGGAAGACCATTTGCCTTTTAAAGGGACCCCAGAACGTCAGGTTCCATGTGAATTGGCGGGAGTGTACCCCTAGAGTCTCCATGACCCTTTAAAAATGGACTCATTACCTAAAATAATGGGGTCATGGACCTATTTTTATTTCGGGTCATGGAGACTCCAGGTAGATGGAATTTTCCGGGGGCCGACTGATTTTCTCTCGATCCATGCGCAAGCCTTTGGCGCCCGGAGGCACGGCCCTACAGATTTCGCCCCGAGGCTGAGGGCTTGGGAGAGAGAGAGGGGTTTGTTGTTTCTTTTTTGGTTGGGAGGGTTCGGGACCCTACTAAAATTATGTCTACCTGGAGTCTCCATGACCCGAAATAGAAATAGGTCCATGACCCCATTGTTTTAGGTAATGACCAACCATTTTTAAAGGGTCATGGAGACTCTAGGTACAGAAAAAAGAAGCGGTACCCTTATTCTAACCTCTCTACTGAAGGACCTAGTAGCTCACTTCCTGAGTTCTTGAACTTGAACAACTTTTTGGGTTTGGACCAGTTTGATAGTAAAGAAAAACTGCAGACTTGTTAGCCAATCCACTCAGGAAGTGAGGTAGGTTGTAACAGAAGCCTAGGTTACCCACGTATTCGTCCCCCGTTCAGTGGGGTTCAGCTAGTTGGGTGGTAACCCAAGTGGCTAGCAACTGACGAACCTGGCAACGAACATCCAAGTAGAGTTCCCCTAAGGCTCTGGGGTTTGGTCCGGTCCCCGTACCACAACCCCAGTTGCTTTAGGGGTGTCAAAAGAACATATTTTGAGGCCCCAAAAAGCATCAGGACCCTTACATTGAGTCATCTCCTGGTTAGAAGGTTGGAAAGGGGACAAGCCCGTGCAGATTTTCATGAGGCCCCTGGACACTTCTTGGTGGACATGAATCCCGACCGGGTTCTGTCCACTAAAGTGTCCCAAGTTAAAGTTCAAAACCAAATAGGTGCGGGGACGCCCTGTTACGCTGTTGATTGTTTTGATTATGAATTCGCGGGGTGAAAGTAGATGGCACAATTCCAAGGCATAATATGGTGTAATCATCCATTTGCTGCCCTGCCAGCTACTTTCACTCGTGTCAAAATCAGGTTGCTGTAAGTGCAGTAATGAGTATACGGTACTGTATCTGTATCTACACTATATATATCCTCTACTCCCAGGTAATGCGAGCCTACGGTGACTGAAACCCCGTCTCTCAGCACGAATTCAAAACAGCCCTATGTTGTGTTGGAGCAGTTCGCATAGAGTGGTCCTTTGTTTTCCTTCGGGGTGGAACTCCAGTGTGTGAGGCAACAACCCTTCGGTTCAATGAAACGTGACAGATCTGAGCTTCTACTTTCAACGGGAATACCAACAGCCGTGGTTGGAAATTGGTTGGGGTATGTGAGGAGGACCCTTGAAAAAAAGCACCCATTGGATGGTTCTGGGGTCATTCCACTTCTTATTCCCTGAGAACCAAGGAGGGCATCAAAGTGAATCAACCTCAAGTCTCTCTGATTCTGAGAGCGAAACCCGACTCCAGCTCACTAGTTCTAGCCAAAAACTTATTAACTTGCAGCTCAAAGCTCGAGCCTACTCCATTCGCCAATATCTTTGGGGTATCCTTCTGGGATTATGGTGTCGCATCGTTTCTTCAGTCACTGACAGGTGGTACAGGATCCGGAGAGCTCGGATCATAGCTGAGGCCTCTCTCAAGGGTGCCAGCAGCTGTGTGCTATTTGGTGACCTCTGGATCGTGAACGCGTCCCCCCAAGGAGGGTTTTACTGCACACTTGACCCATTTGGAGGACGCAACTGGGGATGTGAACACTCCAAGGGTGGGATGATTGCCTCAAGGTCAAGGTCAAAGAAGCTGCCAAGCGATTCCACAAAGAAGCCACCCAGAGGGATTTCACGGTCCCCCTTTTTTGGAGATCCCTTTTGCCTTTTGGGGCCATTGGAGTTGTTTCGCAGATTTCGAGTCCCGGCGTCGATTTGGACCGGGAACAACAACGCCTCAACGCAGCGCTCCGGGCGAACAGCACCGGACGTCTCCTGGAGTTCTTGGACTCCCAGGACTACCCCCTGCGCCTGACAGACTTCATTATCCGCGTGCTGCCCTCCGTCGACGAACATTCCATTTGCAGACAGTCATTGGCGTCGCCTGAAAAACACGATTTGGAGAGGGGCCGCCTGTTGAAGGTGTTTGTTGTTTGACGATTTCATGCTCAATTCCTGATGGATGTCATGTTCACTCCGATTTCCGCCATAGGTGTGAACCAATAGTCACTAGTAAACCAGTTCTGTGCGCGCTTGGACTCGCAGGATGCAGATGTCTCATCCTCCAGGCAACAACAAGGCAGGGCGATGTCCGAAGTCCAGTTGTCGAGCTGAGTTTGGCTCAGCTGGAGCTGGTTGAAGAACTATCAGGGGGTCATTTGCAAATGTCCAGGTTCCAGATCAATCCGCGTTTGTGCTTGTCCTACGGTGTGTTCTGTCCTGTGTGCTAGTACCTGGAGTCTCCATGACCCTTTAAACATAGGTCCATGACTCCAGTATTTCAGGTAATGACCAACCATTTTTCAAGGGTCATGACTACAGATTCGGGATTCTCCACATCCCCCAGTTTCAATCACCAATTCGCAGATTGGATCATCGCCCATCAGCCCAGAGACCATTTGTCTAGGCGGCAGCCTGAAAAATGCCACCCTTCTGAGGCCCATGGCCTCATTTCATGGTTGTTGTTGGGAAACATTGTACATGTTTGCTTATTGTGGTTTAGTGGTTGAAATCCAACCACTTCACTGCTAAACTTTTCAATTTGTTGGCTCCTCAAACCCAACGTCAACCAAGATTTGCCGCTGCAACTTCGCGAGA